CTTTAATGATACGGGGCATTTCTTTTTCCACCGCTTGTATTTTCTCTTTGCAGTCTTTGATGTCAGTGACGTTCAAGTTTGGCAATGTTGGCCACCATGATAGAGTTCTCTCTTAGCTGTTCACCGAAGTTATCAGTTTTTGTGGTTAGCTTTTCTATAGCTTGAGTCAGGGTTGTAAGTGGTATTTCTTTATCTCTTGGGGCATTTTCAACTTTGCAGGAGGTGTCTCGATTTTCGTTGGGGTAACAGGGGAATTTTTCCTCTTACCAGCGTTGTTAGTCGAGGTTTCTTTGGCTCAAAGCAGCAGTTAAGCTAGCACTCGCTTTCCCGTTCGGCATGTTCAGTCAAAAGTTATTTGAGGGTTCAACTTATATTACACAAAAGTGTATGTACTTTTTAGTCCGCTTTACTATTTTAAATTTGTTCGACGGTTAAAACAAAGGTTTTCAGGTAAATTTCGGGAGAATTGAACAGGAGCTTACAAAGTGCCGGAAGTCATTTGAAGTGGACTTGGCTAGATGTGAACTTTGAATTGGAACAGTACTTGGGAAGTGACTGATGACGTTTCTCAAGTCCACAAGAACACAAGTACAGACAAGAATGCATATTGAGAAACGGCCATAGAGTCTGGCCTCTCTCCATTGAGAAACGTTTACTTCCTTGTAGGCGGGTTCACTATTAAAGTTCAAAACTATTGGATCTGCCCAGAGTCACTCAAGATCTGCCATAGCCAATCGCTAACGTGTGGTCGTGAAGTATGTCATGCGCCGAAACGGCAGGAAACAACAAGTCAAAGCATTATAACTTATAATATTGTCTCATGGTATGGAAATTTAACAATGAAATTAAAGAATAAATTAACACGCGTAATAAATGAGGCAAACAAGATTATCGGCCATAAACAGAGCACACTACAAGAACTATTCTCAAATTTTATGGAGAAAAAGGCGCTAGTTGTGTTTTCAGATCAGACTCATCCTCTCCACTCATGCTTTGAAGTCCTCCCTTCGGGTCGCAGGCTACGTACACCGTATGCTAGGAAGAATATTTTTAAAAGATCATTTGTCCCATTGGCAGTGACTGTTTTAAACCAAATTCTCAATTAGGGATGTTATTGTGAATTATGTGCACTGTATTTTTTATTGAATCATGTATTTATTAATTATTATGGGTGTATTATGTGTTTTATGTGTTAAATGTGGTTGTAGAATGTTGTTGAAGCCAGTGTCGAAGATGAATTTCTGTCCAGTTAATCTGAACAGACAATAAAGGTAAAACAAACAAACAAACAAACAAATACGCCGCTGTGATCGTTTCGGATCTGTCACAAATGCTCTACAGTGAATGATCTGTCTCTATCTACAGATGTGTAATAAACAACAATTTTTCATATTATGTCTAAAACTGAAAATCAAATTGTGTTCTTCAAAGTATGGGTTTTCACATTTTTATTTAAGACAATTATTTAAAAAAAAATCACAACCAATTTGTATGATTTACAACATGTAAAACTGACACACCAACCTCCTGCACGAGTACACAAAGGGGCTCAAAATGTTGTATTCATCAAAAGAATCAGTAGATTTACAGTTGGGAATATGAGCGACTGACATGACATGAGTGCATCTTCAACAATAGTTTAGCAGCCAGGACTCGGGGCTTCCAAACACCAGGCTAAAGCGTCCGTCCAAAATGTCACGGTCATCGTGCACACCGAGGTGCCCAGCACAAACTTCCAACCTTTCTGCCTCCTTCACTTGGTCCTCCATTGTGCAACAAGAGGTGAGACGACAACAATCCGGCTTTAGATTCTGTATATCCGGCAGTTTCTTTTTAGCCTGGATGCCAGCCCGAACTCCGCCCACAACATTTTTTGGTCGGGAAGTTCGGTCTGGACTCCATCCACTGAGGAGTAATTATGATCAGGAAAAAAATGATCGGGCCAATCAGATTGCCAGGGCGGGCTTTATACAATGATGGACAGGTTATCTGCAGGGATGTAATCATCACGTTATCAAAGAGCGCTTGTCAAAGATGACTGCAGCTGGAGAATTGAGGTGTATAGATTCCGCTGTCGCGTCTTTTGTAAAATAAATCGACAGCGCATTCATTTTAATAGACAGACAGAGAACTGCAATCAAGGCATTTGTCGATCGGAAAGATATTTTTGGCGTCCTTCCTACATGATTCGGGAAAAGTGTAACTTATCAACTGGCTCTGACGGTCGTTAAGAAGATGGGACGTAATGAAAAGCCTGTGGTCGTTGTGGTTTCTCCTTTGGTGGCACTCATGGAGAAGTAAGTAAAAGAAGCAACACTCGTTATTTAACTTCTAAAATAAATAAAGTTAGGCTACGTTCTGTATTTGAAAACTGCGCTATGCAAAGGAGTTGATTTACTGCGTTGCTCTGATTGGTTGTAGGTCTGTCCGACTATCCAATTGAGTGCAGAGGGTTTTTTTTTCCTTTTTCGGTTACGACACGCCTCATAATCAAAGCCCAACGGAGGAGTTTCAGACTCATATTCTCTCTTGATTATGAGTATGACGAAGTCAGGCTAGTTTCTTTTCCAACAACGGACCGAATAGCTTTTCTCACGTCTTTCTCCACTGCCATTACTTAACTCAAACTGACGCGCTACATCAACGTCATCGTTCTCAGCCACTCCCTCTATTCGCTGATTGGTCCTACAAAAAATTGATTTCTGGAAACCTAAGGATACACAGCAGTCCCAGACGTAGTACTGAAGGAAAAAGAAATTGAGCGGAAGTGCGTAGGAGGGCGCAGCCAGGCTAGCTTTGCGCAGGTTGTTTTAAAATTTTTGACGTATAAGATAAGATCTAAATATACAGTAGTAAGCAAGAAACCAATGGACTACAACTCACATTAGTGAGTGTGAGATCAACACAGATGGACTAGAAAGGTTGGGAGGAACCAACAACTGTATGTTTCCAATCAGTTAGAAGCTATTCACTGTCTCGGATAGCCTGGCTAATGTCAGATCCAAGTCTCATTGAGTGAGATGGTGGTGTAATGGTGTGGGGGATGTTTTCTTGGCACACTTTAGGCCCCTTAGTGCCAATTGGTTATCGATTACATGCCACGGCCTACCTGTGCATTGTTTCTAACCATGTCCATCCCTTTGTAGCCACCATGTACCCATCCTCTGATGGCTACTTGCAGCAGGATAATGTACCATGTCAAGCTTGAATCATTTCAAATTGGTTTCTTGAACATGACAATGAGTTCACTGTACTAAAATGGCCCCCACAGTAACCAGTAACCTTCTTGCCCTGGATGTGCATTCCACAAATCTCCATCAAATGCAAGATGCTATCCTATCAATATGGGCCAACATTTCTAAAGAATACTTTCAGCACCTTGTTGAATCAATGCCACGCAGAATTAAGACAGAAAAAAAGGAAACAAGAAAGCAGACCTAGAAGCTGTGTGACACCAAACAACAACTCTGTAACAAACACTGACACAGACAGGGAATATATACACACAGACACAGATCTAATGTGATGGGAAACAGCTGAGTGCAATGAACTAATGAGTGACAGACAGAATTCTGGGAAATGAAGTCAAACGTGGAAGACACCGTGAGAACGAGGACCTCTACTGACAACCGAGGGAAACACAACCAGACACATTGACAGTATACGTGATCACAGTATACTGTGTATACAGTATACAGCATACTGTGATACTATACGGAGCGGCTACCAGACGCAGATGCTGGCTCCTTTAATTGCTCCTTGCTGCATGATGGTCTGACACACCAAGCCATGTTGGCATGTCTTATCCTCTGCTTGCGCTTGGCCCTGATAATTGCTGCTTGCAGCTATATTATTTGGTAATATTATTGATTTGACTGCACTGACACATGGATGAGAACAAAACTTGAACCGAATTGAGCTGGGTGAGGACACCCTTATGCAGAGTTGTTTTATAGCTGATTCGACTTTGTTTCATAACTTATTTATTTTGCAACATCAACACTGTTACTGAACTGAATAAAATCTACATTGAAGTGAAGAGCTCCTTGCATCCAAATTGAACTCATTTCATAAATGTTGAATTTTACAGTCATTGAATTGAACTGAATCAAAACTGAACTTCAGCTGAACAATGACACTATTGTCTTTTTAGAGCTGCTTTATTGCAGAATTGAATTCAGTTTGCAGGTCATTATTTTCCTGTTTATCACTGTAAAGCTGATTTGAAACAATGTGTATTGTATAAAGTATTGTGGTCGATTTTTCCCCTACAGGTTGAACCCCCTACAGGGCTTAGGTTGAACCTAGTGTCCCTGACACCTGAAAACATCATATTCAGTTGAATTCACCTCTGAACGCTCGAGGTGACGCCTAAGTGTAGCTTTTCCGACCACATTAAAATGCCTAAGAATTATAGATACCCGACTGCAATCTAAACCTGCCTAAGAGTCTCTCACAAAGAGTCGAATGACGTCTCCTTCCGTTCGAACACTGTCACTTTGGAAAAATGTCTCTAGTGTTGTTAACCTGCTCCACACTATCACTTGGGAATATAAGTAATATCTCTAGTGTTTTGCTAAATAACTTGTTCCACTAACTAACTAACTTGATGTGCAGCAATAACAACTGACAAACTTCAGACAATGCCTTCGAATATGCTTTAATTACGGCTGGAGGTTCTCAGACAAATATCAGAGAGAATCCCACCAGCAAAAGAAGAATACAATCGTTTTTAAAGAATAGGAGCATAAAAAAGTGGCATGATACATTACATCATTTACAAACAATTTGCTGGTTCTTTATATGCATATTATAACTCTTCTGTTACTAGGTAGAAGCAAACTTAGCACATCATTAAAAAATGCAAAAGGTTAGAAGTTCAGTTGATTACTCAATATGTCATGAGACTATTCTAGACAGCATGTTTTTGATTATTGTCTGGTCAATATCTCAGAATTTTCCATAGACAAACATTATTCAGAGTACATTTTGTTCAAGAGTTTAGAAAGAGAAGAAAGGAAAAGAATATTCATCACAGTATAAACATTGCATGAGTAATATGTTTAATCATCTCTCTTCGTTCTTCTCAGCCAAAGAGTTTGATGAAGCAGGGGTGGCAGTATGGTTTGCTGTCCTGCTCTTTGAAGCAGCCCTTACTAAGGGGTTTCAGGCAGAAGTGGCACACCAGATGGTGTGGGTGAAACTTGGCACCCATCGCAGTGACACAGCGCCCCAGGATGGGCTGCTGGCATGCCTGGCACAAGCTGCCTCGTGATTGGTGGTAGTGAGCTTCACATAAGGGTTGGCCCTCATGCTCAAAGAAACTCCCATTCACAAATGGGCTATAGCATTCCTGCAGAAAGTAATGAAGAATAAACGTTGTGTTAAGTTACTAGCAAAAGAAATAACCATTTCTCAAATATATATGATATACGTACATTATGATTATGATATATATATATATATATATATATATATATATCAAACAAAGTGTTCTTGCAGGACCCTGTTAAGAAACACTTCTACTGTATACATTTGAGTAAGCTCTAAAGTGTTTTGCTGTACATTGCTGCAGTATGTGCTTTTACACCACCATAACCTTGACAGTAAAATCACGATCCTCCATATGTGGAGAGTAGCTATAACTACCAGGAGCGACGCTACTAACTTTACATTTATCTGTATCTTGACAGTAGCTCAGAAGCTTTTAAAACAGTGTAGCTTTTCCAGTAGCTAACTACCTTTTCCAGCAAGTAGTGGTGTAGAGCGACCAAAGCTACATTTGGTTTTGTATTCTGACAAACCTGCAATGCATTGAAACAGCACAGTGTCTTCTTATTGATCACACTAACTAAAACATTACCACCATCTATTGTTTCAGCACGCATCTTGAAGCTTTTTACTGAGAAGAGACCATCTGATTATTATCTAAACAGGAGTGGGTTGATGTGTCACATGAATGAAGGAGGTTACCCTTTAATTTATTCAAATCAAAGATTAAAGTGAGCTTATCACATGGAAAAGGTTGTGTTGGGTTTTAGAACAAAGAACACAATGTGTTCCCGTAAGCAATCCTGTGATCCGCGTATCAATTCACAGTATGTTCTGCAAGCTCCATTATGGCATGTTCTGTGAATTTAACATGCATTTTTGACTACTCCTTCGTATCCAATTTATTTTGCATCCATTTTGCATTTTGACAGTCAATTTGATATATATGTGTGTATTGTGTGTCTTACAAAATAAAACATCTTTTTTTCTTTTTTTTCTACTTTAAATTATGAGTAGCTTGTAGTTTGTTTAGAGTAGCTTCCGCAACACTGTGTGGTATAATTCTCATAGTACCAAAGAATCCAGCACCTACTCACCCTACAAACAAAGCATTGTGGATGCCAAAGAGCACTTAGGGCTGAGATGTAATTCTCCATGATGGGCTGGGAACAACCCTGACAACGAGAGGCAAAAAGGGCTAGAAAACACTGCTGGCAGTACTGCTTCCCTTCACGGTCATGAAAACCTGTGGAGAATAAGCCTACAGTTATTTGTCATCCTTAAGATCTATGTCAGCAAGATATTACCTCATTTAAAAAAAAAAAAATTATTAAATTAATTATTATGAAAAAATATAGATTTCGACTTATGAGCTGAATGTTATTTGTCACTATGGCTGCATTCACACATTTAAACAATTTTTTTTTTCACTGCCATCTGGCACAGATCGAATCTTGAGATTTTTTACCACTTGATTGGAGCACTTTTTGAAAAATTTAAATTCGATGTGTACCCTAAAATCTGGTCATCTGATCTGTAAGAATTGAGAAATTAGAAAATGCCGGGCAGTCTGGTTGAGGAACGACCACTCCTCAGAAGACTAAGGACCTTCCTTAAAATTAACATTTGACACTTTCTTGAGAAACTAACATCCCTGAGTCAATCACCTCCTCTATGTCATTTCTCTCTCACGCTGAGATCACCAGATATTCACCCAAAAATCTAAATGGTTTAATGTAAATAATCGTCATACATTATTATACATGTTTGGTCTCATTTAAAATGTCTCAGTGCGACTGGTACAAATGTCTCGTTCCCAAAGAAGTAAACCAAAAGGTAATTAAGTTCTTAAGAGTTTAGAGATAACTTGCACACAGAGAAGGGTTTGTCTTCCAGGCAAATGGCATTCTGCTCCCAAAAGGTGTAAACTCTGAATGCAAATTCCCATTGTTAAACAAATGCTTCCATGTGAAAGAAGTTTTTTGTCATAATATAATCTGTCTATATAATCTATATAATAATCATTATGGGTTTCATGACCGTATTTCAGTGACATTTTTTTTTTCACAAACCACGCATAAACATAATTATCTCTAAATTACAAACTTTTACATACATGCTGTAGCAGAGTTTGTGCTGAATACAGTGTAATCAGACTTTAGCCATGAAAATGTCACAAGTAACAGAAAAAAGCACAAATGTACTGTAAGAGCATGTCATAACACCTCCAGGACCCAGAAAACATCTGTCACATTCTCCATTTTTTTATTTACTTCTGTTTGTTTATTAAACACTCCTCACACCCATCATCGCCTCAACCAACATGACAGTAGCTATATCTGAGATTCTCCTCTTTATGATCTTTGATATCTATAACCCACTTAAAAAAGCTTCAATTGCCCTCTCCAAATTGGCACCTAAATCTATTTATTATTTGGGTAACACTTTATTTTAAAGTGACATAGTCAGATGTTACTACATGCACTTATTCCTGTAATATTAGTAGACTATGCATGATCATAATCATAAAACTAATCATAAACCAAACCCTGACCCTAACTGTAACTCTATAATAGGTACATGTATTAATTACATTGTAGTAATTAAAATTTTAAGTACTTATATGAGTAAGTATAATGTAACTACATCAACTTAAAATAAAGTGTAACCCTTAATTAATCTCTATTCATCCACATGATTAATTATTAAATATATATTGATATATCAAAAAGAAAATATGGTCTGAAATCAGCTACCTTTATCACCCCTTACCTTCATCTCCAAATGGACAGCTGCATTTCACACAGCTAAAGCATTCTGGATGCCAGTTTTTATCCAGCGCCGTCACCATTTTCTGAAAGGTAGAACAATAAAGGCAAGGTAAGAATAGAGCCAGATAATACACAAAGTTATGGGAGTTGATACTGATTTACAAATAAGGATGAACAACTTCATACTACACATTTAGGGGGAGTAATGCCCAAAACAATGTACTATATGAGAAAACACTCAACAAATCTGTAATCATTTCTCTGTGTACTAATGCTGTATTCCCTAAATTGCCCTACTCACGCTAATATAAGGGAAGTGAATTGCGACCAGAATCAAGCTTTTTTTAAAAAGACACAAAAGTATCACAGAATGATCCCATGCGACAGATGTGGTATATTCCAAGTGTTCTGGGGGTATACAAAATAAAATTTAATGTATTATTTTATTTATGAAAAAAATTCTGGCATTTGGTCTTTGAACATGCAAGTTCAAAATTTTGAAAAATCAAAAATACAACATCAAATACAGTGTCTAGAAATCCCGCAAAAAGTATACTTTCTTTAATGTGTTAAATATCTCTGGACCGGAACTCTTTTTGGGACTCCACACAGTTCTGCAGACAACTCCTCCATGAACTGGCTGTGAGACATGGGCAGTGTCTCTATGTCACAGTCACCCACTAGTCACATGTCTTCCTTTGTTCTGTTTCCCCGCCACTCATCTATAGTCCTCGGCCATAGGGGCCAGACTGGGCCACCACAGAAAGGCCACGAAAGACGATCCGCCATGGCCGCCCTAATATTAGTCTCCACCTTGGCCCCCCGAACAGCCTGCACCGGCCTGTTCTCCTGAACTGCTGGTACTGTCCTGGTAACCCTGCTGAGGAAGACTCCAGGACTTTTTGTCTCTTCATCTTCTTCAACCTACACCACACCGTGACACCCTGATGTTGGACACATCTCTTTGTGAAAAATATAGCTGTTGGCTGCAGCTAAGTCAATGAAGCAGTGTCCTGTACCACCTATTGGACCTTTTGTGCACAGAGTAATACTGGAGGAGCTGGTCAGGAAGGTGTGTCCCTCCTATGAATTTGTTGTAGTCTAGCACACACACAGCAAGGTGCTGTGATGCTTTTTTTTCTGCCACCTCTCAGCTTCCTTGTTGTGTATGTTTCTGGTAACAGTGCCTTGGTGTATGGTAAAGCAAACTGACACTTCTCTCGTGTCCATCCATTTCACAAACAATAGTTATTGATGTCTGATCAATCAGATTGAATCCCTGGGGCTTTGTGATGTCAGTATTCTTTCTGTTAGGTAAATTCCTGTGGGAATCATGGAACGTACCACTTCCAACAAAACCATTGGCATGCAAGTCTCTAAAAAGTTTTGGGCTTGTATAGAAACATATAAATTATATCAACATATAATACATACAACATATAACATATTATCAACATATAAATTATAGCCCCTGCCCAGGAATGATGGATCCATGAGACTGCTGACAACATCATACGAGAGTCCCTGCAATGAAACTAATTGGCTCTTTCCAGTGAATGAAATGATGAACTCACAGGTGTAACCATTGCTAGAGCCTGCAAGCATAAACAGCTTCACACCCCACTTAGTTGGCTTGGCCTTCATGTACTGTCTGAGTCCAATGTTGGCTTTTGTGGCACAATGCCTTGCATGTGTGTTTTATAGTGGTGTAAAGAGGATGGAGAGGCTCATACTCTGGGGGTGCCCTTTTTCCTCTCTGGTCGGTATGTCATGTTCTGGGTTGCTCATGTGAACAGTTCTGCTTATTGCCATGAACCTATCTCTGGTCATGATAGAAGAGGGGAAGTGTACGCTTCCTCTAGTAGGCTCTAATTCTTGGCAGTTTCAGAAGTGCCATATAAATCACAAGGCCCACATACACCAGGAATGTGGCAGGCTAAAGCTCTTCCCAAACAAACTTCTTCCCCTTAGCATGCTCCTTTTCTGCATTCATATTGGTGTTGTGGCAGATTATCTTCACAGCTTTGTCTTAAATTTGTACAGGAGAGTATGTTACACCCATAAAACCCTGTAATCCAGGGGTAATTAATGGGGAAAAGGATGGAAGCTGCTGGGCATTGTCTATCACCTCAGGTTCATTCCACCTAGCTCCTGGCTTCTCTGGGACATGAGGTGTTGTATCTCCCTGTTCCATTTCTGCTCCACGGTCTATTCCTCTCCCTCTGCCTGTCATAGGGTCTGGTATGAAGGAAGGATTTGGTTTGGCCCTCTGTCTCCTCTGTTGGCACTCTGGACCCTACTGCACACATCTGCAGGAAGCAAGCTGATGGGATGATCTCTTCTGTCATCCTCTCGACTACAATAAAAAGGAAAGAAAACATATTATGTATAAAATATATAATAACTGTATGTCTGTATCAGTGATGCGCAGGTTGATCCGAAATGAGCGGGTGCCTGCGGTCACCCGCGGTTACCCGCAGTTACGGGTCATCCAAAAATGTTTTTATTGATATTCGGGTCGCGGTCGGTCGGGTCGTTTGAAAAAAGATGCCAATTAAACATTTGTATTAGTACTAGACACAATTTTTGATGAAATATACAGCCCTACACATTATTGGCTGAATAACTGGCACGAAGATAATCAGTCTAAGCAGTTCTCGGTTCTATACTAGTGATTCGAGAACCGCTGTCCCTGTGTGTTCGGTAGTACGCAGTATCTATGCGCAGTATCAGCTGTCTGATACCAACATGTCTCGGTTCAGTGAACTGTTGGAGTTACTGGAGTAAAATAGAATTCAGGATATTGATTTATTTCGATTCGGAGGCGACTGTCAGGCATGTCTGAAAGTAAGTAACTAACTTGTGGATCAGCACTGACGCAAGACGCTAACTGTTTTGAACGATTAAGTTCGATTTAGTGTAGGTTCGACCGGTTCACTAAAAAGAACCGGTTCAAAAGAACGATTCGTTCACGTACCGGCCATGTCTATGATCACTACAGTCTGCAGAGATGGAGGCGGCAAGAGAAAAGGTGAAGACTGGGGAGTGGAAGCTCCGCAAATACACAAATAGAAAGAGTAAAAGTGTGGGAGACATTTGCTGAAATAATGAAATATGATGACCAAAGTGCTGGCTTTGCCTTTGTTATGTGTAGGCCAGGCCTACGTCTTCTTGCGATGCTGTGTTGTTACACGTCTATGGCCCAATAACGCTCCAATGAGCATTTACTACTTTTAAAAAATGCGGTCAGGAAGCGGGTCGGGTACAATTTTTTACTTTTTTTTTGCGGTCCGAGTTGCGGGCGGGTAGTTGAAAACGTCGGTCGGTTGCGGTTTGTTTATACATTGACCCGCGCATCACTGGTCTGTATGTAACATCTGTAAAAGGCATTCATTCTCGGTCTCTGCATATTTCTATGCTTTTATTATAGTTATTATTATATTAAATTGTATTGCCTATCTTTATTATTTTATTTTATTTTTTTTATTGCCATATCTGTACTTTTTTGTACTGGATGAAAAATGTGTATGTTGTGTGTCAACATGTTTGGCAATAAAGCACATTCTGATTGTTGCTCCAGTTGGTTTGTGATCCTACCTCATATTCATATACACAGACTTCTAAACTGTTGATTTGACACAAACACTATCCCCCTGCCAAGATTACAATCAAATTTGATGGTATGAGCAACTGACTTTTTATGCACTGCATTTAAAATAAACAACCTAATGGCAAACTACAAAAAGGCCAATCCTGACCAAGTAATACAAACACAACGCAATGCTTCATGCTTGCCATGTATTTTAATGAAAATGTTTGTTGGCGTGTGTTGTGCCAGGACTTTTTTGACTTGACCACATAAAATGATGGCAAATCTATTAGAAAACGTGAATGTACAAATTATGTTCTTGTTGTACAGAATAGCAAGCAATAAATTATTGCTAGCAAACTGCACAGTAACTCTTTTTAGTTATTTACTAAAAGAAATAATAAAAAGGGAGGTTACTCACTTGTCTTCAAACGGATCGATCCCTTGGCTGTACTCCTCCTCACTGCACCATGTATCTGCCTTGGCCGGTTGCCTCCATAGGTCGTGACAGGCATGATGGCCATGCGATGTTTGCCGCAATGCCAACCCATCTTGGGACTCGAGTCTAAAGCCAATGCTGTAGTGGTCACATATGCCAAAGGAGCCTCTGAAAATATTTCAGTGGAACCACTGTCTTACATTTGAACAATTTCAAGCAGTTCAGCATTGACTGAGCACGATCTTGGCACGAACAGGGCAAGGGCAGCATCCAAAGCCTTTGTGAAGACCCGAGGAGACAGAGACAACCCGAAAGGGAGGACCTTGTAGTGATATTCTTGTCCTTCGAAGGCAAACCAAAGAAACGGTCTGTGCTGAGGAAGATTGAGACATCTCTGCAAAGTTTACATCAACATGGACATCACCAGACCCAGGGCCTGTGCAGTAATGGATGGAGTTTATACAATAGCTCTGGCTCAGCAGCAGTGTAAGCTCTCACTGTCAGAGACGAGGTGCTTTGGACGGGAGCCTCTGTGATTCCACCTGGTGGCAGTTTTGTAGACATAAATGCACGGTAATCACATGCTCCACCTTGGGAACGTCCACAAATCCCCACGTCACCCTGCAGTCTAGAGTAGTACGGAGTCACTGCCATTCCCCTCTGAGAATGGGACACGAGTGTTTATTTGGCTCCTCAGGTGAGTTTTTCAGCGGGTGAACCCTGGGGGGAGTTTTTTTCGGCATCCTCGGAAGTCAGATGCCGTGGAAACAGGTCTTGTACTTGTGTACATACCCGGTTGTTCAGCCCCTGTTCTGGACTATATGCATAAATGTTGTTTTTCCCCTCTTAAGAATTCCCATATGTGTATTCTTCCACGGTACGGCTTAACTCCGGGCTCTCACGTCCTTGAGCTCATCATGTCTGAGGCCCTTCTTGTGTTTGTGCACACACACTACACAACCTTGTGGGGTCCAGACTTTTCAAATCAAGAGCAGCATTGAGAGTAGCTTTTGAAAGGGAAAGTGTCGAGTTACATGACTGTAACCCTGTTCCCCGAAAAAGCGGGAACAAAATGCTGTGCTTCATTGCCACATTGAGGGCGTGTTCAGAATGTTCTTCCGACAAAACGACCTGATGTCACACATCTATTTATAGCCTCTGATGTGCGCATTCCGATTACGTCATCATCAGAGGTTATTTAAAGCCAAATTATTTTGTGTTTGCCACATGTGTTCACAAACGGTCAAACGAAGATGTTCTCCCCCACTATAAATAATACGTTTTTATGTAGGCAGATATTAACAGACATTTATGTCTGTTATTGTATTTTCAAATATCTGTAACATATGATTTTCTGTTAAAAATATTTGTATAAAAAACATTAACTAGTAAAGTTTTAATTGAATGAAGATTGCAATCAGGTTGAAGACGATTGTGGAGACGTATAGACGTATAGTCATACAGTAAGCAGACGCGAGTCTGTTATGTTTATGTGCTAACGATGGACAGACCACAAGTCATTGATAAGCTCCTTCATCACAGAGCTCAGGGCAGGATTTCGTGCTGCCTCTGCTTTCCAGTCAAATGACAATTGCTAAGCTAGCATTACAATTCATTTTAGGAGTTGACATGTTATTATAATCCTCGATCTGAAGTGAAGGTAAACAGATTTGCCTAGCTGTCCATAATTGAGAGCTGGAGATCAAGATGCAACCCAAGTACCCAGTGGATTTACTTAATATTCATAATAACTAGGGCCCTGTTTATACCTGGTATTAAGATGTGTTTTGGATGATCGGATCACATGTGGACGATGCTAAATACAGTTGGAAAGTTTTGAGCTTGTCCATTTTCGACCACGCTGTGAAACACTTGTGTGGTTGACTGCATTCGAAACAGCCACTAAAGACCGCCTACTGAACATTTATTGTGGGATGTGTTATTGTTAAGCGTCCTTATCAGACGGCATTTAAACTTAACGGAATCAAAGGGACCCGTAGACGCTCCCCTCAAAGTAATCAGGACAGAAGTGGTAGAAAGTGGACTAACGAGACAAATTAAAATGCCAGGTTAAACGGATATGTGTCTCCCTTGTCCACTTGTGATCCATTCGACCAAAATGCATCTTAATACCAGATGGAAACAGGACCTAAATGTAAGGAAGAGGGTGGAGGAGAAACTGGGTTGCCATAAAAAGTGTTTAGATGCATGCTTGCTCTAGCATTGTGTTTTGTTGGATTAAATGAACACGTTCCTGCTGAACTTTTAGCTCATGTACAGCTTTAAGTTCTTAATTATAACACACAAATGTATACCTACATTGAGTATGGGCTTGTTGCATTGTGCGCAGTGAGGTGAGTACAGGGTGAAGTAGTCGGGCTCACAGTATGGTCGACCATCTTTCTCAAAGAAATTACAATTGCCAAGCTCACATTCACACTCAGAGCAAACAAAATGCTCCGGATGCCAAACACGTCCCAGAGCTGTTACCACCTAAGAGATATGAGAAGAAGAAGAAGAGATATAAGAATTTTTAAAATTACTATTGTTATTTAAATGAGAATTGCACATAAATACAGTTGACCATCCACTATTTTGTTGTATCTCATTCACTTTTCTCCAGGCATTAAAAAAAAAAAAAATCAATAAAGAGAGTTCTAAGCCATGAAACATACCGACCAGCTCAAATATGAAATGCAAACATTACAAAGTATTTTAAGCAAATTTATGAAAATTTGAAAATATAGGTAAAAGAAAACTAAGTAAAGTCAATAACAATAAACCTAAAATACCATATATTTGTTTGTCACATTCAAATAGGGGAGTGCCCAGATAGCAAACTGAATCAACGTGGAAATATGACATTGAAACAACGTTGATCTGACATTGTTTTGCTCATCGAATTAACGTTGAACCAACGTCAGACGCGTCATTCTTTCAAAACTAACGGAAAATCAACTTGAAATCAACGCGTTGTTTCAACGTTATGAAAGCAAACCAATTTTCGATTTTCATTTAGCTTTGAAGAATGCCGCATCTGACGTTGGTTCAACGTTAATTCGATGAGCAAAATCAACGTTGTTTCAATGTCATGAGAGACGTCGTTTCCACGTTGATTCAATGTCAGTTTGCTGTCTGGGTGGGTGGTTACTGCCAAGCTATTTTGGGTGCATTTCTTTTTCCATGGTTATATTAACTTTGCTGACTATTGGATCTCGCTTTGAGACTGTTGGTCTAGTGTATGTAATTTAATTTACTTGCGTCAATGTAACTTAAATGTAAACCACTAAACTTAACAACCTAAGATAATGACAGGTATGTTTTTAAATTGTTTTAATACAATCTTTTTTTCTAAAGGCCATTGCACACCGAGTCCGAAATTCGCATCCGAAATTTTCGCACGTTAAAAAAAAAATTCGACCTCACGTTATGTCAGTCACGCTTGCACACCGCCTCCGAAACTTTCCTCCGTCATAAAATTAATCGGATCGGGTTCGATTTTCTGCGTTTTTCGCATCCACAGCCAGCATTTTGAGAGGTCTTTTGACAATTCAGGGCCGGGGGGAGCTCGTCCTCATTGCACAAATGCGCCGTGCTTTCAGTTTCGGTTTTCAATTCGATCAAGTGTTTATGTTCTCTTCTCTATATTGGATTATGAAATTAATAAACCTCCCCTTTCAATCAGATTGAAATTTAGGATCGGAAAAGGTGTGATTGAGCAGCCTATTCGATATGTATTATTTGGGAACAATATACATAACAGCCTAGCTGTTCTGTCTGCCCAGCGCTTCCACCGGGCCGCGCGCGGGTGTGTGTGTGTCCATACCTGGTCCATACCAGACACACTGCCAGTCTCCGTTCAGAATCGATTGGTTCACGGAAATTGGTGGTCTTGTTTTTAATATGTGGCTCCAGAATCGCTAGCAAAGCATCGAACTGTCCCACTGACATTCTGAGTTAAATTTTGAATTGCTCAGGATAAATTCGCAACTCCTTGATAAGGAACTCTCCTTCCTCTCGGCGCAATTTCAGGATTGGATGGACGTAATATTTTCTCTTTCTTCTCTTTTCACTAAGAGAGAGGGCAAAAATCATCCTCACTGCTTGACGAATCCATTTGGTATTTTTGCGTTTTTTCCCGCAAAGGTTTAATAAATACGCAACGGACTCGGTGTGCAAGGTTTCTATGCGTGACGAATTTTTAGGCTGACGAACACGAAAATACGCATACGAATATTTCGTGCTCAGTGTGCAATGGCCTTAAGGAGAAAATAAACGAGACTATAACTTACAGACCTAAATAAATACATTGATAGTACTCTTGTATTACAAATTTGTAAAATGTTACATCTATGTTCCAATCCAATAATATATAAACTGAGAAAAGTTCTGTACATTGTGTTTTACATTTTGAGGTATAAATGATGAGATTCAAAGAAGATTAAGTCAAGCAACCCAGGTGTCTGACATGAACCTTTTGTTAATGACACGGTTATGCTGATGATCAGGGCTGGGGAATTTCCGGTAACGAGCTGACTTCCGTACTTAATTTTCATGCTTAGTCTCAGAATGTCTCCACCTCTATGTAAATACCTCCCCCTTGAAAGGCATATAAACAACAATGTACACGGCCTTAGTAAGACTTGATGACTGCAACTATCGACAACTCGTGTTCTCAATAAAGAATCCTGCTGAAGATACAACCAAGTCTCCTGGTCTTCGTTTCTGAATTTCCAACAGTTTGATGCTGTGACCGAGATAGAGCTACTCACCTGAATCCAGATTGAAACTTCAAGCTCAACAAGTTGCAGACTGAATCTTTCTGTACAAACCAATGCTTGGTGATATCCAAAAGAACCTTTAAGACCAGTACACATTTGTTATCCTCTTTGGTGTCAGAGAAGAGTTAACAGACAGTAGGCTGTAGTATTTGGTTAACTATTATCCTCTGATCGGGCAGGGAAGATTAGCATTATGTGTTGATATTGGTTATTCTCTGTTTTGGCAGAAAATAATTGGTTATCCTCTGTTCAGGTAGGGACGATTAGCATTACGTGTTAATGGTTATCCTCTGTTTCGGCAGAGGCATTTGTGTAATCCTTTGCTCTGCCAAGTGTACCCTCTGATCAGAGAAGTTTTACAGCATGTGCCAATCACGAACCCATCCTCATGTATCATGTCTGCAAAGACTGAAATTTTGTTTGAGGATAAAAGAGATATGACTCACGATTGTGTTACACTTACATACACACCTACAAATGAAGTAACAGAAACTCCCATAGAGAATTCAGAATTCAAAAATTGCTTGTTGATGGTTCGGCTCAAGTCATTCAAGGTAACATCCACCACTGAAGTGGTAGCTTCAGGTCGTCTTCCAGATAATTTTCACCTCAAGCTGCAGAACTAGTAGCCATAACTAGAGCATGCACTCTAGCTTCAGGATCAGTTGCAAATATCTACAGAGATTCTAGGTATGCTTTTCGGGTAATTCACAATTTTGTAGTCATTTGGCAAAGTAGACAATTTCTAACTTCTGCTGGATGTGCCAGCAGCAACTACAGCAACAGCACATAACCCAGCTCCACCAGGACCATTTCGTCAGGACCATTACTGACTTTTTGGTAATAATAGACAAGTTCTCAAGATGAATAGAAGCTTATCCAACAAGGTGTGCTACAGCTGCACACACAGTACTGCTAAATTTCTTGAGACTCATTTCATCCCCAGATGAAGATTACCAGATTGCATTGACTCAGATCAAGGTACACACTTCACAGGACAGGTAGTCAAGGAAGTGTCTAGAATGTTGAAGATTAAGTTGAATCGTCTGTGCCCATACAGGCCACAAGCATCAGGACAGGTTGAACGTGCAAAAACGCATCAGGAAGGAGTACTATGGGTCGAAGTGCTGCCAGCTCTAGTGTGTAATATGAGAGCTTCACCTAACAGATCAGTAGGACTGAGCCCTCATGAGATTATTACTGAACACCCAATGCAGATGTCAGGTGCCAAGTGGGATTGATCTTAGAAATGCTGATGTACACAATGCCTCAGATGCCCTAATTGCTTACTGTAATAAAAACCTCAAAAAGGCAGTACAGTGTGCCAAAGAGAGTACAGTGTGCCAAAGAGAGAGTTGACTCATGTTGCCAGACTCCACCAGAAGGTGGATACACAATCATCCCAGGTCAATGGGTCATGATAAAGTCCAACTATCACAAAAGAAAAAGAAAAAGAAAATACACAACACAGAGACGCACATATGGGAACTTCAGTCACCCATCAACATGAACAAGATTGTTGTACTAGTAACCATCATGGACATCGCACAAAGTGTAGACTCCAAAGACAACATATTCTTAGAGCTGATGAATATGTAAAAAGAAGAAAAAAAGAAGAAAAAAAAAAACGCCTTGTTTGCTAGAAAGAACGTTTGCACGCCACACCCGTCTTCAGTAGTAGCAGGAATCTCATAGGTGGCACACCCCATCTCCAACTGTAACACGTGTACCTTATTCAAGGTTCATAGCAGTGGAATATACAATAAGAATACATGTCACAACATCACAACTCCCCCAGCTTTTCCATGTTGCATTCCTGGATTACCATTCCTGCAACCTAACTTCAGCTACTTCCATCATAAAAGATCTACTCTTGCCAATGAGTATACCCTGGTGCATGGGAAATTATGTTTCAACATCAGCTCCCTTGGGTGAAATTCCATGTGAATGTTGCAGCTTTGTGGTCAAAATGAGAACAGAATCCCATGTGGACATTATTCCATCAGCAGGAAAAGGGCTTAGAAGTGTCCATCCCTCCCGAAACTCTTTGCAATAATTCACTGGTGTATGATTCCTCCACCGACTGGATCTTTTTGGTTATGTGGAACTTCTGTCTACAACATCCTACCCAGCCAATTCAACAGTTTATGTTCTACTGTCTATCAGAGAAAATACACACTCCACCCCAAGCTCTCCACATCAAAAAAAAAAAAAATCTGCTTTTACCACAAACAAAGAAGATGGCTGCATTCCAGGACTCAATTGTGCACAAACATAGTGGTCAAGAACTCGGAGCATTAATCCCATCTTACGGTGTCATACAGGCCCTTGATCAAGTCAGAAGCTTATCGAATTCTGGACAGAAATTGGGGGTAACATCACGGACACTCTTGCTTTGCACAAGATAATGATCTTACAGAACAGAGTGGCCTTGGATTATATTCTTGCAGTGCAAGGGGGAGCGGCACCATTATCAGCCTTGAGTACTGCACCAGGTTAATGGATCCAATAGAAAACTTGAACAAAATCAAACAAGGCATTCTTGATCTTTCAGCAAAATTACAACAGATGAATGAAGATAATTCTTCATGGATCGGAAACATGTTAGGTAAATTCTGGCTGTGGATCATAGAAATAGCAATTCTGCTGTTGTTTCTCTTACTAGATACTATCTGTCACGTTGTGGGTTTTGTTTTGCTTTGTGTATCACGTGTTTCCTTGTTTGTCATGTGATCCTACCATGTGTCTTGTCTTTTGTTATTATGTTGCTCAGTGTCCACAGGTGTTTCTTATTTACCACACCCCCTTGTTAGCTTGATTAGCTTGTTTGTCTGTGTATTTATACCCCTGTGTTTCAGTTGTTGGTTGTCGGTTGTTGTCTAAATGTCACTCGGTTCCTGCCTGTTTCTCGGCCCTGTTCTGAGGTCCCTGGATTGTCTGTTAGTGGGATTAATAAATGCTTGCGATTGGATTTGCTTTCTGTCTCGTTCCTGACCCGATGTGACAGAACAACCGACCGCAAATGAATCCAGCAGCACAAATCCGGGAGTTTGCTGGTCAGATCGCGGCCTTGGCCCTGAATAGTTGTGATTTGTTCCAGTATACCTGGGGGTTTGTTCCTCTCGCTGCCTCCTGCTCTCTCGGTGATGAGGCTATTAAGCTGTGTTACCAGCTAGGGGCTAAGGAGGTCAACCCGAGGGAGCTCCCCAATCTCTCGGGTCTGAACTGGAGAGAGGCGATCTCCGTTTGTGAAGAGAGTTTCATTCCAAAGCTCACCGTCAGCCCTGCCGAGCCTGCGCTCACCGTCAGCCCTGCCGAGCCTGCGCTCACCGTCAGCCCTGCCGAGCCTGCGCTCACCGTCAGCCCTGCCGAGCCCGAGCTTTCAACGCTGGTTCCGTCCAGCTCTCCAGAGATTGAATGCTCTTCACCGCTGGTTCCGTCCAGCTCTCCAGAGATTGAATGCTCTTCGCCGCTGGTTCCGTCCAGCTCTCCAGAGATTGAATGCTCTTCACCGCTGGTTCCGTCCAGCTCTCCAGAGATTGAATGCTCTTCACCGCTGGTTCCGTCCAGCTCTCCAGAGTCTGAATGCTCTTCGCCGCTGGTCCCGTCCAGCTCTCCAGAGATTGAATGCTCTTCACCGCTGGTTCCGTCCAGCTCTCCAGAGATTGAATGCTCTTCACCGCTGGTTCCGTCCAGCTCTCCAGAGATTGAATGCTCTTCACCGCTGGTTCCGTCCAGCTCTCCAGAGACCGTCCAGCCCGTCCAGCCAGAGACCGTCCAGCCCGTCCAGCCAGAGACCGTCCAGCCCGTCCAGCCAGAGACCGTCCAGACCGTCCAGCCAGAGACCGTCCAGCCCGTCCAGCCAGAGACCGTCCAGCCCGTCCAGCCAGAAACCGTCCAGACCGTCCAGCCAGAGACCGGCCAGACCGTCCAGCCAGAGACCGTCCAGACCGTCCAGCCCGAGACCATCCACTCCCCATCTGCCCTTCACCCGGGGACTCAACCCAAATATTTTTTGGGGGGGGGCCCAGTGTCCCAGCCACGGCCGCCCGAGGGGTCTTCACCGCCGTGGCCGCCCGAGGGGTCTTCACCGCCGTGGCCGCCCGAGGGGTCTTCACCGCCGTGGCCGCCCGAGGGGTCTTCACCGCCGTGGCCGCCCGAGGGGTCTTCACCGCCGTGGCCGCCCGAGGGGTCTTCACCGCCGTGGCCTTCGCCTGGTCCTGCTCCGCCCTGGCCTTCGCCTGGTCCTGCTCCGCCCTGGCCTTCGCCTGGTCCTGCTCCGCCCTGGCCTTCGCCTGGTCCTGCTCCGCCCTGGCCTTCGCCTGGTCCTGCTCCGCCCTGGCCTTCGCCTGGTCCTGCTCCGCCCTGGCCTTCGCCTGGTCCTGCTCCGCCCTGGCCTTCGCCTGGTCCTGCTCCGCCCTGGCCTTCGCCTGGTCGTCTGCTCCAAGTCTGGTCCTGTTCCCCTGCACAGACTTGGCCCTCCTTCCCTCCCCCAGGACCACCTCCGCGTCACCACCCTCCTGAACTTGTGTTTTGGGTTTTGTTTTGGGTGTTACACTAGGGGCGTCGGGAGCCGCCCATAGGGGGGAGGCTATGTCACGTTGTGGGTTTTGTTTTGCTTTGTGTATCACGTGTTTCCTTGTTTGTCATGTGATCCTACCATGTGTCTTGTCTTTTGTTATTATGTTGCTCAGTGTCCACAGGTGTTTCTTATTTACCACACCCCCTTGTTAGCTTGATTAGCTTGTTTGTCTGTGTATTTATACCCCTGTGTTTCAGTTGTTGGTTGTCGGTTGTTGTCTAAATGTCACTCGGTCCCTGCCTGTTTCTCGGCCCTGTTCTGAGGTCCCTGGATTGTCTGTTAGTGGGATTAATAAATGCTTGCGATTGGATTTGCTTTCTGTCTCGTTCCTGACCCGATGTGACACTATCTAAGCATCCACAGTATCAAGTGTTTCATTCAATAAATGTCTCACGCCCCTCACGAGAAAATGACAGTTCCAACCAGAAAAGACTTTTTCTTGTAAGAACCTTAATTGCATATTTGTTTCTATTTCAGCATACAATTACAGACAACAGAGAGCATGTGCTAATGTGTCTGTAACAAGAATTAACTTTTAAGTGTCTAAATTTGTATTTTGTGAGAATTAGAACTCTTCCACCAAAACTGTAGGAAAGTCAGAAGCGAAGACCAGGGGGCTTGGTTGTATCTGCAGCAGGATTCTTTAAAGAGAACACGAGTTGTCGATAGTTGCAGTCATCAAGTCTAACTAAGGCTGTGTATATTGTAGTTTATTTACCTTTCAAGGGGGAGGGATTTAAATAGAGGTGGAGACACTCTGAACAAAGCATGTAAATGAAGTACAGAAGTCATCTCGTTCCCGGAAATTCCCCAACCCTGATCTCATAAGCATAACAGTGTCAATCAAATGCATAGATGCTAATTCAATCAGCCTGACAGTATCGCCCATACCTTCACATTATCATAGCTTAACTAGGGACCATGAAACTGTTCAGGAGGTGCATAAAGACAAAAGGTTAATGTCAGACACCTGGGTTGCTTGACATAGGGGGCTTTAACACTGGCAGTTTAGTTCGGAACGGGGCACAGTTCACATGAAAAATCGCGGTAACACTTTACAATAAGGTTCACATTAGTAAATGCATTAACTAACATAAACTAACGATGAGCAATGCATTAGTTACACTGTTTATTAATCTTTGTTAATGTTAGTTAATACAAATACAGCTGTTCATTGTGCGTTCATGTTAATTCACAGTCCATTAACCAATGTTAACTAATACAACCTTTGATTTTAATAACGTATAAGTAAATGTTGGAATTAATATTAACTAAGATTAATAAATGCTGAAGAAGTATTGTTCACATAATGTACATGTTAACTAATGTAGTTAACTAATGTTAACTAATGAACCTTATTGTAAAGTGTTACCAAAATCGCTAATGTGAACGCTGTCAGGGGACCCGGGTGTGCACTGAGGTACCGACCCGAGACTACATGGAGGAGTTTCGTGTGAATGTGAAAGCAGCACGTACTCGGGTGCGCACTTGTTCAGGAAGTAAATGTGACCTGCGCATGCGTTTTAGCTTATTGTGATGTATTCAGTTAAATAAAACATTTGTGAGGGATGATAGTGTTGATGATTTACCTTGGATACAAGCAAGAGTGAGCCTGCTGTGTATTCGTGCATTGCACGTGAAATCGGGGCAACCAAATTGGAAATCCACTGTCTCCTCAAAAGTGTCCGTTTGCAAGCAGCAGAAGGCCACCTTATGTGACACATCCACAGAAAACCTGTATTGTTCACTCAACTGAGCATAATAGCAGTGAATTGATAAAAAACAAAACAATATTGACCCACATTCTGTTTTCTATCATGCGCCGTGCATGTTTGCAATGACACAATCTGCACGGAAATGCACCAGGGTTCGATATGCCTGGGAACAAACATGTTCGGGCTCGGACCGCAGCAAACGAGCCCAGTGTAAAAGCCCCCTTAATCTTCTTTGAATCTCATCATTTATACCTCAAAATGTAAAACACAATGTACAGAATTTTCGGTCCCACTTTATATTAAGTGGCTTAAAGTACTATGTACTTACATTGAACAATAAGTACAATGTATTATTGTGTTCCTGTTGTATTGTAAAACACTTTTGCTGCTATTGAGGTGTGATACGGGTAAGGTTAGGGACAGGTGTGGTGGTATATGGGTAGGTTTAAGGGTAGGTTAAGGTTTGAGGGGAGGGTCAACTGTGTAATTACAAATGTAATTACATAAATTAATTATAGCTGTAATTACATGCTGGAATTTTAAAATGTAAGTACAATGTAAAAACATGTATGTACACAATAAGTCCATTGTATCAAATTATTAATTTCAATGTAATTACATAGTACTTAAAGCCACTTAATATAAAGTGGGACCGAATTTTCTTAGTTTATGTACTCTTGTATTGGAACCTAGATGTAACATTTTATAAATGTGTAATACAACAGTACCTCCAATAAGAAACTTTGAAACATTAAAAAAATATATATATGGCAATTGACCTCTAGTTAACTACTGATTAATTCAGGATTTATTAAAGAATTGTACCTGTCCCACAACTGGTTTCTGACAAGTGGAACAGTTTCCCTTCGAGGAGGTAGGCACTCCCTGTCTACTCAGATCTGATTGGAGGAGACCCAACATGCTGTCCAACGAGCCTCCAGAGGATGCAGGGGGTCGAGAAGCTGTTTGCTGTGGAGATGCCGCCACAGTTACTGCTGGCTGTACAGAAAAAAAAAAAAAAACATTAAGAACATACATTAAGAATATTGATATTTCAAAGTAAAGGTGATGTGTAAATAAACTCTCTCCTAAAGCTTGATTTACGTTGTGTTTTTGCATTTGCGTAGAATCAGTGCTTCAAAGTGAGCGTTTTCAATTCATTGTTATGGGAGTTGAGTTTCACGCACACGTGGCGAATTGTGGGACTGACAGCGGAACTGAGAGCGGTAAAAAGTGAAAAGTGTAAAAAGGTTGGGCAGTTCTTACATTTTTATGCTGTATGTCTTTACATGGGGCATTTAGAAACAAAGCTTACCTCTTGGCAACTGTAATCTCTTGTATCTGTGATGATTATATAGTTTATATGGTATGATCATTTGTGTTGGAAAAAAAATTAAATTAAACACTCGGTAGTCGTTACAGATACACCCCATAGCAGAGACATTTGAGCGTTTTCAGACATTTTCAGTTTTTGCACTCAGTGGACATTCACTGTTATACTTGCTGCATCTGCATATTTGGTTTGTTGTGCACAGCAAAAATTATTATTTTGGAGTTGTGCATTGACTTTAAATTTTTGTGCGGTTCTGCACATGCCATTATTTTCTAAACTTGAGCCAACAGTGCACGCACAAATAACGACTTCAAGGCAACATTGGCTGGTTCACGAGTTCACACTTTATACTCGGATAGAGTAAAGAAAGTAAGCATATTTGGTTTGCTTTCCCAGGAGAGGGATTTGAGCTCACAATTTGGCCTGAGCCCAGAACCATTGCAACAGTTCCCTTTCGGTCACGTTCGACGCCACGCCGGAGTGATCCGTCTAATAGGAATCTCGCTAGAGAGTCAATCTTTGAGTGTAATTCAACGAGCCAATGCATATCAGTACAAGGTCCTGCGTCTTCACTTTCAGCCCGTGGTCAGACCCATTGTTTCTGCGGGTAGGAGTGCCCTTGGAACAGGTGTGCAGGAATGCTGTGGTGTTCACAGATGCCTCTGCCACCGGCTGGGGTGCCACGTTCAACGGGCATAGAGTGTCAGGGGTGTAGGCAGGCCCCCAACTGCATTGGCATATCAACTGATTCCCAGAACTCATGCTCCTCATGACAGTTCCTCCCTGACCCCTTCCTCTGAGGAAGGACCTTATTTCTCAGAGATGGGGCACCCAAAATGGCACCCGCGTCCGGACCTCTGGAAACTCCATGTGTGGTCCCTGGTTCTAGCTGGTTGTGACCCCTGAAGATGTTCGATAGGGTCAGAGCGAGCTGTCTCCCTCCAACCTCAAAGTACATGCTGCCACTATTTCACCATACCACAACCACATAGATGGCAATTCAGTAGGGAAGCATGACCTTGTCATCAGGTTCCTTAGGGAGGGAGAGAAAATAAAGTCCTCCTCAGCCCCCTTCCATACCCTCTTGGGACCTTGCCCTGGTGCTTCGAGCACTTCAGGATGCTCCCTTTGAGCCTTTTCAGTCAGCAGACTTAATGCTTCTGTCCATGAAGACTTTGCTGATGGTTGTATTGGCCTCTATCAAGAGGGTAGGTGACCTGCAGGCATTTTCGGTCGACAAATTGTGCCTAGAGTTCGGGTTCACTCTCTTCAGGGACCAGAAAGTGAACCTGCAAGCGCTGTCCCTGGAGGAGGCATGCCTAGTCCTTGCATTCTGTGACTGCAAGTGGACAGAACTCAAAGCCTCAGGACCTCAGACCAGCTCTTTGTCTGTTATGGAGGCCAGCAGAAGGGAAAGGCTGTCTCCAAGCAGAGGTTAGCTCACTGGATAGTGGATGCCATCGCCATCGCTTACCACCCACATAGCCTATGTGTAGAGCCTCCCGTGTCACGGGTCTCCTCCTGTGTTCTCACCCTAAACGGGTAGAAGCACTGAGACGACCTGGCTCTGTCGGCTTGCTGCACCCTACTGTGCGCTTATATTGCTCCAGAGTGAAAAACCTGTTGAGTCATCCACCACCTTCGGAGCATCCGACGCCAGGCCTTGCATAGGGCACTGGAAGGGATCAGCAGCTCTGGCACTTTGGTATGGATTCCTAAGAGTCAGATCACTATCTTGAAAGTGTTTCAGACAGCATTTAAACCTGGCTTTTTCACGATCGGATTGATATCTGATCATAGAAAACGCATGAAGTGACCAGGTGTAAAATAGATGACTGGAGCTCAATACTTGCACCATTGGATGGGTAAACCTAAGCCAGGCAGGTCGTTCAAGTGGGAGAGTTCACGCAGCATTTGATGGGAGTTCAATCACAGCATAATATGATTAGGCTCAAATGTCAGTTAAATTAGGATGTTGATGCTAAAGCCAAAAATGGAGAAATAGGGTCGATTAGCTGATTTCACTGGGCGACTCGAACAGCACATTTTGCAGAAAACAGCTTGTTATACATATAAAAATGGTTTCCACCTCTCACACTATTATCATCAGATACTTTTGTTTTGTTTTCGCTTCCTATGGGGAAAAGCAGCTCAAATTATTTCTCTGTATCAACAGAATGTGATACAGAATTCTGAAACGATATCCTGTATTTTTAAGGCAACTGAAAAATCACCATAATCAATTAAGCGATTCGATTCAGTTGGAGGAAGCAGAGACAGTAGAGAGGATAAATCAATTTCTGAGAGAATCTGTGCTCTGATGTTGCTGGTGACTTCCAAAGTGATAGCTTTTGGTGGTATGGGCATATGTGTTGTGCAGAACAGGACAATTAAAATCTATCTTGGGGGAAAGGCTGAGCAGAGGGAGGAGTAGAGTGGGGCCTGGCAGGGAGAGTAAAGCCTGAAGGCCTACTGCCACGGCTCCACACTCGAAGAGGATCCAGTCTTTCACAACAGGAAGTGGATTAAGGAGATTGAGATTCTGATTGCAATGAGACATTCAAATCATAGAGCTGGGCTTTGTTCATTCTCCTTGAGAAATCTTTCCTGCCGGATCACTCAATGGCATACTGATTATATGCACCTCTGTCTCATTCGTTTCCTTAACTTTCAGTATATATACTTCTTGTGTAGTTTAGTTCTTTGTCTGTTCATAATTTTAACTAAAAACTTTTTTTTATGCATTTTGGCTGTTCATTTACGTGTTTTTAGATGTTTGTGTGTGAATAAAGATCATTTTGCAACATTGTTTTTAAAACTTCATTAATGAAAACAAATCAAAAATCACAGTATGTATTTCGTGCAGCTGTTTATGATTTATGGGGATTATAAAAAAAAGGAGTGGGTGGATTTTTAGAATTTTAGACTGGTTGTTTACACACACTGTGGACACACATTTGTGTTCAAACACCCTTTAAAAGTGCTTGATGTTATGTAAGAACTGAACTCACCTAACTCACCAAATTCTCACCTGAGAGCCTAATCAACTAAACGAGCCAATGGACCTTGGCATGCGAGATTTGCATCGTGCACCCCACGATGTGGGTATGTAAGGAAGCATGCTTGCACTTGCACATTCAAAAGAGCGTTTCTTCGATTCTGCTCTGCAATCATCTACTACGAGTGTTCTTCAAACCACATGTCACTCTAAAAGAGCATTTCTCTGCATTCATTGCAGTTGAACTAAAATAGTTCCTATGCAGGCTTCCAATAGTCTTGCACGCTGTGGAGCAACCATTTCCCTGTGCGCTTCAGCACTATAAAAGAGCTATTTCCCCCCAAAAAAACAAGCACTGTTTCTGGATGAGGTAAATTCCTGGCTCTGTCTGACGGTCATAATCACTGTCTCACATGCCTGGGCTTAAAGCATGCTGAGGTGGCTTTTGTGTATGAGTCATGTACCATTGTGGTGCAGCGGCTGAGACTCGAATACCTCAAACGAGGTGGAGTCCATTTTGCTATGCCCAATCTAGCACAATCTGCAGTCCCACTGTGAGTCAGAAAAAATCCCGGTGTCCTGCTGACTGATTTAGGCTTCTGGCCCTCAGGCTTCCAATATGAATGAAACTGACGTGTATTTACTGTAGCCCTCAGTAATGATCCCTCTATCCTATTTTGGGTAAAAAATTGGATGATTGAATGACCAGATTTGTGCCTGTACATCCGTGACTGTGGGAATTTTAGTGGAGCTGGAAGAGGAAGAATGGCTTAAAGACTGGAATACAGAGACAGAGCCTTCCCCGCTGGTCCCGTCCAGCACAGAACCTTTACCAATGGTCCCGTCCATCACAGAGCTTTCTCAGCACTTTTATGAAGAGCAACTGCACGCGCTTCGGACATGCACACGCATCAAGTACCGAGTTTGAGAAAACGAGGTAACGTGGAGTGATGTTTAAAAAAAAAAAAAAAAAAAATGAGTACCGAAGTACCGGGTCTTTGATAACACTCATAAACGTTGGCTGCACTGTTTCTTACCTTGCTCTACGTTGACTTTACTAACGTTATACCAGCTTCACCGTCACAACATTTTTAAAAATAGGCCATTTAGGACATCTCGAAGGCCTCTATTTTCTTCTACTCTTTTCTTTTCTATTCTTTTCTGTTCTTTTCTGAGGACCAGACTTGTGCTGACCAGACATTTTGAGCGTAACGTTAGCCTACTGAACTTCAAATTAAATGACGACATAAAATTTTGATCAGTGGCCAAACCATTTTTGCTTGGGGGTGGGGGGTTCACGACCACTATTTCAAGGACAATTAGGAAGAAAACAAATAAAAAAGCTTTTATGTAACTCACTTATTACATTTTTTCCCCTCACAAATATGCAAAATATTTTTTTTTTGCAATTCATCATAATTTTGCATATCTAAAAATTAAGTTATAAAAAGTTTAGCATAATAATCTAACATTTTATAATAAACGTTATAATAAAGACTGCTCTAATGGTTGATTATCATAGTCTGCCTGCATGTTAAAAGGTAAACCTGCAGTTTTTCTAAATGTTTTCTGTAAAATAAAAATATGAATCATGTTATTTTCTTATTATATTGATAGATATTTATTCTTAAATACTCATTTTTTTATTTTGAATAATGAAAGTGTAATTACAATAGTACTATTTCCTATTTTGTTTAATATTTTCATTTATATTTAGTTATCTTTATTTATATTATATTCATATTTTTAATCAAAATCATAATAATAATTATTATTAATTTATAAGCGCAAAATGTTGGGTCAAATTGTGCAGCCCTACAAAGAAACACAACAAACTGGATGTTCTTGTAGATATTTTTATTTTTCTAAAAAAATTCTAAATTGCACTTTAAATCACAAATCGCTATTTTAACCAGAAAAATCTGTGCAGCAATTTGTGCAGCCTTAATTTTTGCCTTCTACGGTTTTTCTCAGGTGCTCCAACTCACCCTTACCTCTAGCTTCAAGTACTTCATTTTTGTTGAGGCGGTTTTAGAACAGCATCATTATTTTATTTTTACACAGTGGTAGATCTATTAGTTAAATCTTTTGACTTTAGCCGTCTTTATTGCATTATATGCCAAAGGTGACAGTTCAAAATGGGAAACTCATTTGTTTTTTTGCCCAAAGATTGCAATATGTAACTCATGATTTCTTAATATCCTTTTACATTTTAATTCTAAACAAACTTTTATTTTGGTTTATTATCTTTAAGGCCCAGTATGGGAACTGAGCATTCTCCAGCTTCAACCCAAAAGTCCATCCTACAATTTCGGATCCATCAGTGTTAGAGAGTGAATACAGTACATCTCTTATTTCATTGAATAAAGCAAGATTAAGCTTTTAAAAAAGGCCACTTTATCATCAAACAAAGCAAAAAGGACACTTTTTCAAACAAAGCAAAACAGATCAAGCTAAAAAAAGGCCACTTTATCATCAAACAAACCAAAACATTTAGTCGTACCATTGTCTTCTGTCTTATGCTTAAGAAGTTTTCATGTCATATCCCTATCCGACCCATTCTTTGTGGATGACTCCGGCCACTCTGTCACGTGTTCTTGGTTCCAAATAACACCTCAAAAAACAAACATCCAATCCGGCATCCCAGGGTTCTTTGTTAATCTGTTTCCCGTTGCTGTCCAGCGATTATTGGCTTTTTTGGAGTAGTTCTCTTGGTTCGAGCCAAATTACAAGCTCAGAGCCCTCTCCTTGGACAGCACACCAAATACGCACATGTTATACTATATCTGATTGTATGTGTGAACTTGAGAAATTATGTTTTATTAAAAAAGTTTGGAAGGAGCCCGTTCAGATAATCTACCCAGTTAGCTTGAGAGGAGGCTTATATAAAGCCAACTTACCTCTGTTCGGCAACCGTTTTTCAAGCATCCCTCCTCCACCCCAACTCCTCATTCTTGGTTACTTATTGGTTATAAGCGAGCCGTACCATGCAGTGGAAAAGCATCAAAGCGTCCCATACCATACTGTGCCTTACTGTACCATGCAGTGGAAAAGCGCCATAAGTTAATTATCAGTAAGCCAATAGCAGTTACTAATTATTGAGTTACCAGTTTGAAAAGCAATTATTAATTTTGCATTTCTATCTGGTGGTGCTAGTGGTGCAAACATAACAAACATCACCTTTAAATGCATAAAATTGTGTCTCAAACATACTGTGCTTTGGACTCTGAAATCTGACAGAGATGCCATTAGTTTGTCCAGCTCTAATGTAGCAGATGTAGCTGATGGTTTCGCTGAGCTAGAAACAGAGAGAAAAAACAAATCACCATCACTGTCCAACAGCCATAAATACTTATTGATTGTATACAGTCTACACCCATACAAATTTCCAGAATGTTTCATTACTGCATACGAAGACATTTATTTAAAAAAAAAAATGTCTGCAGGGAAATGCTATCAGTTAGTATGTAGTAGGTATGTAATATCATACCTGTCATAAGAGATGGAGAATGAATATGTAGAAAAATTTCTATACAGATAAATATATATAGCAAATATATCAGTGCACTAACCAAGTTGAGGACGGACCAGACTTTGAAGACTTATCATCTTTTTTGGTGCTGGGAAATTGAGCCAAAATCTCATCTAAGAAAGACAAAGGGACAACAAATACTTTAGAGTAATTCTGCCCAGAATAGAATGCTTGAGTGCAGCTTATACCGCTCACTAAATACTCAATACTGTCTGGATAGCAAGGTGACATTGATACAATGTTAAGTTTTGTTCCAAACCATCATTTTGGTTGAGATTAAAATTTCATTGATGAAAGTATGTTGGATCAGCATTGAAATTTTAATGAAAGACGACAGTACACATAGTTGGGAAAGTGGATTTTAAGCTAACAATTGCACATTTGATTTATAGTTGATTACCACAAGATCATGCAGAAATGTTTCTCTGCAGAACACTTGAGGGTGTTACCCAATCAGTGCGGCCTTTTCAAACTATGATGGGCATTTTGCTCCAATCTTTTAGGGGCTTGGTTTAGGGGTGGGACTTCATGACTTTAGCAAGTCAGATAAAGTGGTTGAAAACACCCATCTTGTCTCAGTTACATAGGTAACCTCCGTGCCCTGATGGAAGGAGAGAGACGTGGTAATGAATTCTGACACTAAGGGTGACTCTTGGGAGCCCCAAACACCTCTGATGTATTCAGAAATGCCAATGAAGTTGGCATGTGCAATTTGCATATGGACATCACACGATCAGGTTTGTATCAGAGAGACACCGTGTAAATAATTATTAAGTCAACTCTATTTTTCTCGGCACTTACTTTCATGTATTTCGGGAGAAACTGATGAATTCCCGCACTGTAATAAATCCAACAGACAGAAATATCTGAACTGCGGGCCAAACACGGCGCCCATCTCACGTTACAGATAAAGATCTTTTTCTTTCTTTTTTTTTAAACTACAAAACAAACTCACTTAGACATTTGAGAATTGGAATATGAGAATGGTAACCATCATGAAATGGTAAGCAAGTTAATATTTTGAAATAAAAGCGCTAAATCTGCAATAGAGCTTTTATTTAGCCGATGCCATCTAAACATTGTGATTTCTGTCAGCCATCGGCCCAACCCTAGTGAACATCACGTATAATGTGATGATCAGGCTGGTCAGGCATGATGTGAAAATCAGGCTAGTCAGGCATGATGTGAGGATCAGGCTGGTCAGTCGTGACATGAGGATCGGGCTAGTCAGGCTTGACGTGAAGATCAAGGTGGTCAGGCATGACGTAAGGATTCCCTTGGTCTAGCTGTGTTCAGGATCAAGGCACGACACTCTCCAGTAGGGTTGGGTATCGAAACACAGTTCCAATAGGTTCCGACGTAAGCGTAGTAACGAGACCGAACAAGAATGAAAATTTTGGTGTCTGAATTTTTTTACCGCCCCCTGTAAAACATCTCATGGCACGAATGTTCCGATACATATAAATAAAACATCTCCAGTTAACCAGCAGAGCATTCATTTTGTTTGTTTGTTAAATAAGAGAAGATTTAGTGCTGAAATGTTTTTTAAATCAAGTGATGAAAGTGCTGCTGTGATCAGTGGCACAGATACAGTGTTTTACCCAACCCAACCAATACCCAACCCTACTCTCCAGACACTGGATGAAGGTCTCCTTCCAATACAGGGAGTGTCTGGGAGGTCGAGAGGATGGTTGAATGTGGCCCCGATCCAGAACAAGGTGCTCAGGCTCATGTCATCGAGGGTGCAGGTGATGGCAAGGTGGAAAAAGTCCTTGACAAAAGATAAAATTGTTGGCTCTCCTGAGACAAGACGATTATTCAGACCCTATCTTCCATATTGGGTGGTCCAATCATCTGTCAGGGTGTGGTGCAGACAGAAGATGAATAATAGACCAACGGCACTTTTGCATCCTCGAAGGGTAACGCCCCCTTTTGGGGTAAAACAAACGGATTCCCTGAGAACAGAACTAGCTCTTGATAGCTTCTTGATAGCAAAAATAGCACAAACTTAAAGAAGCTACTGTATGCGGGGTTATAGAGGTGTCCCTTTGAAATGCCGAAAACTGGATTATTATCCAAAAATTGACTATTCAGACATCTACCACTATCTCGTGGAAACACCATGTAGCATATATTTTCTTATTTTTTTGTCATTAACATTCACAGTATGACAAACTAGACGATGAGGCCATGTCACTTGGATTATATTTAACTTTAACTTTAATTTAAGCTATTGACAGTTTTGTTGTCGACTAGTTATACTAGTTATAAAGATGAAGTTGCTAGCAGCTAATGTTACGTGATTAGCTCTCACTAGGCACGCTCCATTGGCTGTTAACTGATTTTACCATTGAAATAGTGGCAGGCTAGGACTAAAGTGGACTTGGCTGGTTTCTGCTTGTGTCTAGAAAGTGCTTTAGGCCTATATGACTTTTCGACCACCACTGCTCTGGGTTACAGTACATGTAACAACACGGACGGTAGTAGATGAAACACCTTTTATAAGCTAGATAGGTTAGTGTCACAACATTCAATTTGATAGCTCCATACATACATACATTGGTCCTATACATATTTTGCCATACACAGTAAACCTTTTTACAACTTTCAAAGTCCTAGCACTTTCTAGACACAAGCAGAAACCAGCCAAGTCCATTTTAGTCCTGGCCTACTACAATTTCAACAGTAAACAAAACTTCAACAAAACTATGTCAATAGCTTAAATCAAGTTAACTATGATCTAAGTGACATGGCCTCATCATCAAATTTGTCATACTGTGAGTGTTAATGATAAATGACAGTGGGGTCATTAATCCAGTTTTCGACCATTTGGGACACCTCTGTAACTCCGTATCCAGTAGCTTCTTTAAATATCGCTCACGGTCCTCGGCCGGCAAAGAGAGTGTGTATGTTCCATTTTTGCTATCAAGAAACTTCCAATCTAGAGCGAGTTCTGTTCTCAGCGGAATCCGTTAGTTTTCCCTCAAAAGGGGGCGTTACCCTTCGATGATGCAAAAGTAGCGTTGGTCTATCCAAAGTTCCAATTCAAAGATCCAATTTAAAGTTTTACTCACTTTTATTTTTTATGATGATGAGGTTAAGTGCTCACGGAAGAGATGAGTTTTCAGTTGTTTTTGAATGTTGTCAGAATGAATGTCTTCATTCTAGATGAAGGCTGAAAGATCATTCCACCAGCAAAAGAACAGAGAACAAAAATGTTCTGGAGAGTGATTTTGTGCCTCTCTGTGATGGTACCATGAGCCTTCACTCATTTACCAATCATAGGCTTCTGGTAGGGATGTAGACTTTTAAGAGCAGGTGGAAGTACGAGGGTGCTGTGGTAGATAAATCCCAGTCAGCGGAAGATTGTATGAATCTCCTCCACGAAATAACCATATATGGAACTTACAATACCTAGTTCCTTACAACGCCATATTTGTCACATGTCGGATGCAGTACAATCCTAACAATCTCCATACCATTCCGATGTCTTCTAATATTTTATTCTCTTTTCCTATTGGTCTCTGGAACTGCCAGTCCGCTGTAAACAAAGCTGATTTCATTACATCTTTTTCAAGTCAGCCTATTGACTGAGACCTGGATCAGACCTGAGGACACTTCTCACACCTGCTGCCCTCTCCACAAACTTCACTTTCTCACATAGCCCTCGTCTGAAGGAAGGGCTGAAGGTACTGGTCTGCTCATCTCAAATGACTGGAAATTTTATCCTTTACCACCTCTGTGTGACAACAGCTCATTTGAATCACATTCAATTACCATTACTAGTCCTATTAAAATATACTGTTATATTGGAGAGCTGTTATAGATGTTATAGAGCTGTTATATTGGCAAAAAGGAGGTTGCAAAAAGTATTTAAAAACAGGGAGCCAATAATTTTGGCCAGCGTGTTTTGGAGAAAAGCATTTATTTCAAAATGTCATTTGCCAATTGCCAACAGGTTAAAACCATGGGTTCAGCCTCATCCATTTGAATTTTGGGCATTAACTTGGATACAGGTGATTTCCAGGCCTCACTGGACAAAACTCATCCACCTTCCCAGACAGTCTAAACTGTTCTAAACGCGAACTGCTATCTTCGCTCGGCCGCTTAAACTTCAGATGCGCATAATCTGTTTCTCTGGCTAATTTCCTTGACAGTCGAGGTGGCATGATTAGACTGGTAACTCGTAGTGACTTTGAAAGGGAACATCTTGGTTGCATATGTAAACATCGTTCCCTGAGTAGGTCTCCCTGCCACTTCCGCTGTACCGCTGGTAACACCTGGGTTCAGACTCAGCTCCTCAGCAAGAAAACATAACTGCTCGGTTACGTATGTAAACCCTCATTCCCTGAAGGAGGGAAATGAGACGTGTCGGCTGATCGGGATCGTGCTTATAGAGCCAATGTAATTGGCGTGTTTAAAATGCATTAGACAAAATTTTCATTTTTGGGTGAACAAACCCTAAAGACTGGGCCAATGACTGTCATGGGTTTGCATGGTTATATTCTGTTCTTGCACATAGTCAGTGAACCACTTTTAGTAACAAGTTAGTAGAAAGTCAGCACTCACCTGCTATGTTGAACTGTGTGGCATTAAGCTCCTGTAGTAAGTGATCAAGTTCACTCAGCCCTCCCCCCAGAACCGAGGCAGAGGTGAAAGCAGGAGGAGGGTCTGCTGTGTGTTGGAAGCGTGGCTTACATACGGTACTGAGAAAAACAAAAGTTACAAAACAATCATTAGTAAGGGCCTACCACAACACTCACAATCTTAACCTGTATTCCAAGGAATGTACCTTATGTTTCAAAGCACTGAGAAGGCCTGAGAAGGCCTAACTGATCGAACTGGGAGGCCTACGACCACCTGATCAAACTCAGGAGTCTGCATGCTCATAGTGACCCTCGGTGAGGAGAGCACATGGTCCGCCTGGAAGGCAAACCGGGCTGTAGGCAGGAAGAAATAGGTTCCGGGAGGGAATCAGTAGCAGAGAATGAACACATTAGTCGAGCCAGGGCGCAAGCTCACCTTCAGCAGCTGCCTGTTAAGGCCAGTTAAAGTGCTAGCAAGTGGCCAATAGCTTCCTAAACCAAGCAGCACTGGGAAACCACTCACAGGGAGGCCTGGTGAGGCCTACTACATGATAACCACCATAAGTGGAAACTTCATCCTTTAGGGAGGCCTGGTGAGGCCTACGACCTGACAACCACAATATGTGTGATAACCACAATATGTGGGAGCTCACTTTCAGGGAGGCCTGTTGAGGCCTACTACCTGATAACCACATTATGTGGGAGCTCACTTTCAGGGAAGTCTGGTGAGGCCTACTACCTGACAGCCACAATATTAGCCACAATATTTGAGAGCTCCCCTTCAGGAAGGCCTGATTAGGCCAACTACCCAACATCTTGGGGAATTACTTTCAGGGAGGCCCAGTAAGGCCTAATACCTTATAGCAACCATATGTGGGAATTCAACTCCACGGAGGCCTGGTGAGGCTGACCACCTGATAACCACTGTATGTGGGAACTTAACTTCAGGGAGGCCTAGTAAAGCCTACTACCTGACGACCACAAAATGTGGAGGCTCACCTTGAGGGAGGCCTGATGTGGCCTACTACCTGACAACCACAATATGTGGGAGCCCACCTTCAGGGAGGACTGAAGAGGACTACTACCTTATAGCAATCTAAACATCTGGATGCTATGAGCACTGAATCAGGGTGACAGTCCCAGGACATACGAAAGTCTTCTCAAGAAAGGGACTAACTACCAAGGACCAGATGTGTTCCTTCCCTCCCATCCTACCACCTCCAAGATGGTTCCTTCCCTTCCATCCTCCCCACCACCACCAGGATGGTCCCTTCCTATACCTCCCAGGGGGTCGGCTGCGCCCCTGCCTTCGTCTTCAGGCAGGAAATGCAGAGTCCGGACCCTCGGATTGCGAGCTATGGATGGGGCCTACGCCAAAGAACTTAATTGCTTGCTGGGCTATCAATAAATGTATTTATTGTTACAGTATTTATTCTCCCGAGTCTTTCTGGTAGAACTATAGTAATCCTATGGCTGTATTCTATAGTAGTGTATAAAACTTCTGTGATGTTCTGTAATACCTCTATACTTCTAGGCTATGTGCCAAAATACTGTAGTATTCCTATAGGATTAACGTTAATATAATATGTTGTCCTAAAATACTACAAGATTTCTATAGTTGTTTTTCATAAGGGATGTCTCATTCACTTAGCGTTATCAGCTCAATACAGACTGCAGTCTGTGAGAATTCGGATAACTGTCAGCAAAGTCCCGCTGCAACTTCGTAGCTACTACTACTGATCACCGTTTTACAAAAGGATTAATAGTTTGGAGTGAAGCATATGTACAATTGGTAAGTGACAAGGTTTTATGGACTTATAGTAACTTATACGCAAGTTGATTATAGGCTTATGTTACCGGTAGCTACCGTGATGTCTTACCTGGAGATTCAACCAGATAGTCTGGAAACAACACCTCTGGCCATTTGGTTGGGTCATTGACCCAGTTTTTAATTAAATAAAGGCAATCATAACCTATTACACTTCATTTTGTAATGTACAGTTGCAATGTACGGCACACCAACACTGCGCATATTCTTTGTCTCCCTAATCAAACACACCTGATTAAACTCATCAGCTCATTAACCCATCTGATTATGAGCTGATGAGTTGAATCAGGTGTGTTTTATAAGGGAGACAAAGAATACGCGCAGTGTTGGTGTGCCACCAGGAACAGGGTTGAGAAACACTGGTACAGTCAATCGTAAAGCACTTTCCAAAGTTTTTGTTTTGTGTTTTTCACGGCATTCGCGCTGAAAATGCTGGGGCTCAGTCTTTTTGCCACTCAGGCGTGACCACCATCATTCTGACCGACTGTGATGTAACGTGCATACCCTCTATTAACAGATTAGAAGAACAACAAAGAAACTCAAATATGAACAGAACAGAACAGAAAAAACAAAACTGACCACTACTAAATATTTTATAACTACTTCAATTAATCATGAATTACAGTAGGAATACATTAATAAAGCATTTATTTACATACTGAATAACTATTACTGTATGTCTAAATAATCTACTTAGACTTTCTAAATGATCTTATGAACCTCTGAAAACTCTTAAAAATAACTGGTTTGAAAATAATGTAATACTTAATTTAGAAATTATAAATTGATCATTAATAAAGTATGAAAATAGAATTATTAAACACATTATAGATATGCTTATAAATAAAGAATAAAGCATTTATAGCTGTATTTATAAAGTGCTTACTAATGTCTATTAACCTCTTAACTGTCAACCCCCCCCCCCCCCTTTTTTTTTGAATAGACATGAAAATGCACATTTCAAACTTGGTTGTAATTCAAGAATGCTTTGGAATATAGACATATGATTGGTCTTGTTTTAAAGAAGACATTTGGCAGATTTTTGTTGAAGTGAAATAAATTAAGAAAGTGAAACAGAAAAAAGTTATAGAAGTTTGAGTTTATGGAAATGTACAATGTAAAAATATTAATTATTCATATTTTACATAAAATATATATTTTCAAAACCTGGGCTACTCTAAAACGGCAGAAAGATCAAAGCCAAAAATCTGAACAAGTTGTGTTTCAAATTTTAGGTTGATAACTCAAAAAATGAGCTTTCAGTAAGATTTTGTTTTAGCGCAGTACCAAACTTTTTCAATAGGGCACAATCAGACTCCATTACTGCCCATATAAGGGCGCCTGCATTTCTATATGTGTTTTGAGTGATATGAACCATTATTTTCACAATTTTCATACAATTTCTGAAGTAGAGATCCTATTCAGAAGTAGTATGGGAAGTTTGGCAGATTTTGAAATGAATTGAACTTCTAAGAAACATACAAAGACCACGCATGTAAGTCATAGCTAGCTGCCACGTCACAAATGGTGAATTTATTATTTTTTTCTTGATATTTCAAACTTTTCAGACCTTTTTTTCCAAAATAATTGAATGGATTTTATCTTTTGAACTTTTGGCATGAAAACAAACTGAGGTATCTACGATTTTTCATGATTTTTCATGTTTACTGCTATTTTAAAATAAAGGTCTGAACACGCGTTATGAGTATGAAAATATTCTTGTTGCATATTGATAAATTATGGCTCCTCTGTAACATATTTTGAAAATCAGTCACCAAATATGGAAACTAGAGATTGTAAGCTTTCAAATGATATATAGTTTGTCAATATTATTTAAGGTATTTACTAAGATATTATTGTTTTAAAAATATAGTGGCAAACGTCCCACCTGTGGGACGGTGACAGTAATGTAGGGCCAATGCTTTATAAATTATGAATTAACTTTTTATCAATGCTTAACTAATGATTCATAACATGTGGTTATTGTAGTGTTACTGAAAAGGGAACTTATGTTGAGAATAGATTGTATGTGCATAGGGCATATGAAGTGTCAGATCATCTAAACTAACTTCAGTCTTTATTTGAACCATGTACCATGTGTGAAAATCAATGTATTATTCAGGACATTACGCTCTTGAGAGGTAAAATACCTGTAAAGTTTGTCTGGGTTAGAGTTCTGAGAGCCATTCGACTTCATCGCAGCAGAAACGGTCTATGAAACAGATGAATAAAAATCGTTTGACTCTATATATTGCTTAGAAACATTACATCAGATATCATCAGTATATTTGTATTTAAAAATGGTGCTTATGGCATACTTGTTGCGGGGTGTATGCTGGAGGGAGTGGCCGGTTCTGGGCAGGATCCTGAGCACTGGATGGAGGATCAGAGTTCACCGGAGGGTCAGAGGTCAGTAGGACAGGATAGTGACCCAGAGGAAAGGCTGAATTTTCCAGATCAGCAAGCAGGGCATCTATAAAGACAAAACGTTATAGAAAAACATCATGAAAAAATAAATAAGGCAAACTCAGAGAGGCTATTCTTTCTTTTTTAATTTTTGGCCTTTCTTTAAATTATAAGAATAGTGGAAAAGTTGACAGGTGAAGGAAAATAACTGGGACATGATCCAGGCCTTGAGAATGGATTCCTCTCAAGCACATCTCTATATGTCAGTTTTATATCCACAACTTTAAACTATCGAATGATGACACTAGGGGTCAGACTTGGGAGACCCAATCACCTGTAAGAATTCAGAAAAGGCCACTGAGAATTGGTAATTGGAATTTGCATGCCACTCCATTTTATACAGGTATGAATGAGCGGCGTCCAAATACTCCAGTCAGATTTGTTTTTCAGACCCAAGTGAAGTGTCTCCAATACACAAGCTCATTCCAATCTTCTCCTCTAAAAGAGCTGTTCTAACTGGAAAAAGTTACAGGGTCTCTCTCCTAAAAGAGCAAGCACAGAAAAGTTATGGGAATTTCCCCTAGGTGCTTCAGCTAAAAGAACGGTTTCCCTAAAAGACCTTGTACAAACGATGAGCGTCTTTTTAAAGATTCCTTGCCCTTTGTGTACTTCTAGTGCGGTTGATATCTGTCGTTCTCATACGGATGATACGAACACACTCAGAAAGCTTTCGTGGGTGGCTCATGTTCTCACTGCGAGAACATAACCATGGCAAAGTTGTGGTCGCTTCTCATTCCTGACAAGGAAGAAAACCACTGTCCGCACTGCATCTAGCACTCAGGGTTACACAAGAGTGAATCCCCACTGACCTTCCACTCCTTTTGCACATTGATTTCGATGTTGTCTCACAGGGTGTACACTTAATTTCATTCAGGGCTTCAGATGAGGATGAGCTGTTGATAGATGAAAATTCCCCAGAACTTTCTCCCACAGAGTACCACCACCTGGAATCGTCCTAAGCTCTCTTCCAGGGCCTGTAAGACTACTTCTTCCTTAGGGTTACACTGCTGCTGGACATGCCACCTCTGCCCTGCATGCCATGGCCATCCTGCAGGTCCATCAGGCAAAAGCTCTGAAAGAGGTACACGAGGGTAGTGCTGAGCTAAGACTGATGAAGGAACTGCGTTCGGCAACTGATTTTGCTCTCAGAGCAATTAAAGTCACGGCATGGTCTTTTGGCCAGGCAATGTCCATTTTAGTGGCCTTAGAACGCCATCTCTATCATCCTATTTTGGTTGTATCTCTCTACTAGTCTTACTCGTTCAGTATGGAGTACCACAAGGCTCAGTACTAGGACCATTGCTGTTTACTCTCAACGCATTCTCACCCCAAGGTGTCACCTTTGACCATGCATCAATATTTGATATGATTGTCCTTGATAATGGTGGTGGGGATAATCAGGATGATGATGATGAACAGAGACAATGAAGAACAACAAGTAAGTACAGTGGTAGCTGGTAGCATGGGTGAGCAGTCTTGGGTCCTAAAGAGACGAGACCAGACACTTAAGTGAAGGAAGGGGTGGCTGATATAGGAAGTGTATTCATTATGTGCAGGTTATTAGAATTCAGGTGACTGATTGGTTAGGCAGATTGTAGAGATCAGGTGCAGTGGGCGGAAGTGATGGCTCTGTTGACTCCGTGACACTTTTTCCTATTTACTAGCACTTAAACTTGGGAACAGTCTTCCTAACATTGTCCAGGAAAAAAAAAACCCGTAAATTTTAAGTTAATCAAAACAATTAATAAATCGTAATTAATTACAGAATTTTTATTATTAATTAATTAATTACTTTTTTAATTGATTGATAAAAAAAGTCTCTTCTGTTCACCAAGGCTACATTTATTTTATTAAAAATAAACACACACACACACAGTAATATTGTTAAATATTATAACAATTTAGAATAACTGTTTTCTATTTTAATATAAAATATTATATAATATAATATAATATAATATAATATATATAATATAATAATATATAATATATTATATAATATATATAATATTTTTTATAAAATGATATATATATATATATTTTATTATTATTTTTTTTTTCATGGACTGCATTAGATTAAACTAAGAGGGGTCATAGCACTTGCATATTGTTGTCCTACTGTTAGTTTGACTGCTTCTGCTGTTCTCATTTGTAAGTCGCTCTGGATAAAAGCATCTGCTAAATGAATAAATGTAAATGTAAATAAAATTAAAAAATATAAATAACTGTTTTCAACATTGATAATAATAAGAAAAGTTTCTTGAGCAGCAAATCAACATTAGAATGATTTCTGAAGAATCATGCATGACACTGAAGACTGGAGTGATGATGCTGAAAATTCAGCTTCGATCACAGAAATAAATGACACTTGGCTATATTTTCACATAAATATATATATATAAATATATTCACAATATTACTGTCAAATAAAATGCAGCCGTGGTGAGCAGAAGAGACTTTTTTTTTTAAATCATTTAAAAAAACTTACCGTATCCAACTTTTGACTGGTAGTGTGTGTGTGTGTGTGTGTGTGTGTGTATATGTACATATATCCTACATATCAAATGATATATTACTAGAGAAGTTATTTGTATGATTATTTGTATTATTTCCAACTTGATAGTTTGCTCTGTATAATACAACCAACTTCATTGTTGAAAAGAAGTTTGTCTATGGTGCATCTATGAAAAGCAAGAAAAGGAGGTAGCCTATTGTGTCTAATTTAAATTCTAAAAACTGTCAAAGCAAACAAAGGGAATATATACAGATAATTACAGAGTTGCATCTACAACAGGATGTTATGAGCAAATGACTTTGGCTGCATTTACAGAATAAACATTTACATACACTTTAAAACTTAGATTTTAGTCAGACTAAAACAATCATTTGTCTTTATAAAATGTCATGATATGCATAAGTCAGACTAAAATATTCTGGAAATGAAAGGGAAGTCAAGAACAGTGGGTCATGTTTCACGCACACAGAAACTTTATATAGCCTGCTTGCAAGTTGTTGTATCATGCTTGTTCTATGGTGATTTAAAGTGTTGAAATAACAAAACATGCAAAGAAAATTGCTGTAAATGTGCACACACATAAATAGGAGGAAAACAGACAGTCAGAAAAGTACGTACCAAACAAAACAACACGGGGACTGAGAGGGTAGTTAGATGTATCAGAAACTCCTGAAGAGAGGCAGACAGACAGACTATGAGACCATAGACACACATCAGCAAGCAGAGCAAAAACTACAACCAAATGCCTGTTTGTACATTATAAGGCTGAAAAACAGATGTATCCAGTGAGAGGGAATGCATGTGTGCTTGTGCACCATTTAAAATATTAATGTGAGATTGCTTTAATCTAAACAATAAAGACGGCTGATTATTAAAATGAAGTCACCACTAAAAACTACAGTAGGCCTATATGTAAATTATGCACAATATAACTTCTAAACTCTGCTATAACACTATTGTGGATTTAATGTAATCAATGAATTATTTGTTGTTGTTTATATTAAAATGCATTCAATACTCCCGTCACTGACACTACAGCCATAACTATATAGAGCATTTTTTTGCACTTTCAGTGACATTTCATTTCTTACAATGAAGTCAAAGGCCCCACATTATTGTACATGTGTATGTTTTCAGAACACTTTTTTGTGGGTCTTTAAAGTGTGCTTGAATAAAAACAAAAACTAGATCACCCTGGGTGAACTTGATTCATCTATTGAAGTTATTTTATCATCCAGTTCAACAAACCATTCTGTATAATCTAGATGGTTTGAGCACTGTGCTCATATATGGTGCTAAAATTCTTCTCTCTGGAAATTCTAACCATATTTAGAGAAGCATGTTCCTTTGGCTTGGCTAACAGTCCACTCAACAATAAAGCAGTATACTTTGATAAATAACCTCAAAAAGCTCTGCACAAAAATAGAAGGTGAATTTAACCCACAAAGATAAACCAGTCAATAACTTAAATTTGATATTTAAGATTTAAGTTAAATTAAGATTTAAATTAAGTAAGATTTAAAGCTGCAGTCCGTACTTTTTCCTCTTTGTTGCTGTGTTCGAAATCTGCAATTGCAGTTATTTGTGGAATTATCAACTTGAGTTGTGTGTCGTGGATTGTGCCAATGTTTTGAGGAGAATGTATGGCTGTCATAGCCTGGATGCCAGCCCGAACCCCGTCCACAACATTATTTGGTCTGGAAGTTCGGTCAGGACTCGATCCATTGAGGAGTAATTATGATCGGTTCAGAAATCGTCGGGCCAATCAAATTGCCAGGGTGGGCTTCATACGATTATGGACAGATGATCTGCAGTTACGTAATCATCACGCTATCAAAGAGCACGGGTTGAACATTGAACTTGTTTCCCTCAAAGCTGACAGCAGCTGAGAACTGAGATGTATAGATTCTGTTATCGTAAAAGAAATCGACAGCACATTCATTTTAAAAGACAAACAGAGAACTGCAATCAAGGCATTTGTCGGTCGGAAAGATGTGTTTGCCGTCCTTCCTACGGGATTTGGTAAAAGTTTAATTTATCAGCTGGCTCCGATGGTCGCTAAGTGGTTGCACTCATGGAGGACCAAGTAAAAGAATCAACACTCATTATTTTACTACTTCTTCCAGCGTGCGTGCGGTCAACATACGTCACTCAACATACGTCACTCACTGCGTTGCTCTGATTGGTTGTAGATCTATCCAATTGAGTGCAGGTTGAGGTTTTTTTTTCCTGGTTCGTTTAAGACACACCTCATAATCAAAGCCCTATGGAGCAGTATCAGACTCACATTCATATAACGAAGTCAGGCTACGGCTGTCAGTCACCATGCTGGGTACTGTCATCCGGAATCACAAATTCTACTTTTTGGAAGAAGAGTAAGAATTTTAAGAATTTTCACCGGAAAATGTCATTTGAACAAGTAAATAACATCCACTTTTGTTCTAACCAACTAAGGGGAAAAAAACATTGCAGTAAATCGAGCTGATTAAATAACAATCGCTTATCATATCACATCAAACCGTGCAAATTATACTTTGTTCTCAAATTGTTAATGTTAACAACATCAGCATTGTGTAGCTAAATTTAATGCCCTCCAATGTTTATCTTTGTTTTCGTATGGGCCCGGTTGCAATCTCTTTTTTCTGTAGCCACTCCGAAGTCCGAAATCATTTACATTTTACAATGGTTGAATCTTCAGTTGTCACTGGTGATTGTCGTTTGAAACTTTCTGGATCCTCCATCAAATTGATAAGTTTAATTATATCAAGTGCTGTGAGAAAAGGCTGTAGGCTAAATTTCCACCTGCAAACATCCTCGCACGCAATATAGCTTATACTAGCCGAGACACCTTCTTTATGTGTACAGATGTGATGTAATGACGAAAAGACATGCTCGAATTTCCCGCGGAAATCCACCAGCACCACTGGAATTAAAAACATTATAACAAGCATACCAATTTAAATCGAGCTATATGGCAAGCAGATACTTTTGAACACTGGCTGGTTATGTACTTGAGCAAAAAAAAAATATTTTGGATAATTTTTAACCCAAAAAAGTTATGGATTAAAAATTATGAGTTATTAAGTTAAGTTAAAATTGAAGTTAAGTTCAAGTTAAGATGTTTCTATGCTTTTGAAAGGAGTCTGTTGTGCTAACCAAGGCTGCATTTATTGAATTAAAAATACAGTAAAACAAAAAACAGTAATATTGTGAAACATTATTCAATTTTAAAAATAGTGTTCTTCTTTCTAACTTTCTATTAATCAAGAGTCCTCAAAAAAAGATCACTGTTTTTACTAAAATATTATCTATATCAACATTGATGATAATAATATGAAAGGTTTCTTGAGCTGCAAATCAGCCTGTTAGAATGACTTCTGAAGGATGTAAATCCAAAGACTTAAATAAGTATGCTGAAAATTCAGCTTTGTCATCACAGGAATACATTTGAAGAGTTCAGATGCAAAAGCCTCTAAATGCCATTTGAAATTTTCTTCTTTAATGATGATTTTTATCAAACTTGTATATTTAAGTTCAGTAATTTCACTTAAATAACAATTAATAGGTATCATTGCCATTTAAGTGAAATCACTGAACTTAAATATACAAGCTTGATAAAAATGTTCATTCTAGAAGAAAATTTCAAATGGCACTTAGAGGCTTTTGCATCTGAACTCTTCATTTTTTAATATATTAAAATAGAAAACAGTTATTTTAAATAATAATAATTCACATTACTGTATTTGTGATTAAATAAATGCTTCTTTGGTGAGCATATGAGTCTTATTTAAAAAAAATAATAATAATTAAACAATCTTACAGATACTATACTAGGCAGTTGAATTATTGAAATATTTATGTACCATGATACTTAATTGTACTTTGAATAGGCAAGGCTACTTGTTAAATTTTTGTCTATAGAGCATGTTTACATCCAGATTTGTACAGAGGATTTCTATAAAAAATGTTACTACAAACTAAAAACTAAAACAAGACAAATAAATGTCCTCATCTTCAGGAACAATTATCCAAATAAAACCTATGTGGTGGCGGGTGAAAGGGCGGGTGTTTCTTCATAGGATCCAAGAAGTTTTTTTTTTTTTATAGTCCTTAAACGTTACCAGATGTGGGATGTAGCCTACTGTGACTAGATGCCCACTCTCAGGACGAATTAAACATAATGTTACCCTTGATAACTGCCGGGAAGAACTACCAACGTGAACATGTCTAAAATTCTGTCGGACAGATGTACGTGTATGTTTTCGGATTGCACCTCAAAAGTATGAATACGTGTCCATCTAGCTCATCTTTTTAAAGAGCTCATCAGTGTGCTTTTAGAAACCGCTATGAAAAAGAAACGACGCCTCGTTCCAAGCCCTCCACCCTGTCCCTATTTTGCGTTTCCATTTAGGCTAATAACGGTTTACTGCAGTGATGTAGCCTATTCAAAGGAAATGTAGGAAAAGTAGGCTATCATAAAATAATTAGACAATACATACCTAAATCGTCCATCAGTGTAAAAAAGGAAGAAAAAAAAGTTTCAAATTGATATGACTTCCCGGTGAAAGTATCTGAGAAATATGTCTGATATTCTTTTTCCTTCTCGTCCCGAAGTTTTCAGGCTGGGAGTTGTCCTCGAACTGTGCGTTTTTCTTATTCCAGAGGACGTAACGGGTCAGAGGGGCGGATCTAGTTACATTTCCAGCCCATATTTGGAATTGAAAATTGTGCATTAGTTGTCCATAATGATGGTAGATTAGAATAATAAAGCACGAACTGTGTTACTTTTATAACCAAGATGCCAGAAACACATGCGTCCTCTTTGGTGCGTCCTCTTATTTAAATCAGTTGGTTTTGACCCAGCTTCATTCTTCTTTAGATTCTTCTTTCTTCAGGATACCCCTAGAAAAAAATAGTGGACTATAGCATACTTTTATTAAGTGTAGCTATACTTATTACACAAATAATATACTTTAAGAATACACAAGTGTGAATTAAATACAATGTTTCACTTAATGCACATTGTATGCAATTAATTTGAAATGTATCAGGTTAAAATAAAATGCAATAAGTTGACATTAAGAGTGATTAAAAAAAAACTTAATTGGGACTTTAATACAACTTTTTATGTACATTCATAATGGTTTGTTTTAAAATATGGTTAAAGTGCACTGTTGAATGTATTGACAAGCAATTAATGTGATCTAAAATATAGGCTACTTTACTGTCAGTTAACAATATACTTAAGAGTGAAATATGTTTTTGACAGACTTATTGCCTATTATATATAATTTCAAATGTATCTTAGATTAAGTTACAGTAAATACAATTAATTGAAATTACTGTAAGAGTGATTTTTTTTTTTTTTTTTAACAACTTAAGTTGGATTTTAATACATTTCTGCATGGACTTGGAAATATGGAAAAAAAATACTTCCAAATATACTGAAAAGCAATTAATTTGAACTAGAATATACTTTAATGTAATACAGTTTTTTGCCTATTGCTTACACACATTTTGCTAAATTTGGCTCATTGTGTCAAAACTCTAACACACAAGCAAATAAGACACAACATTGTGAAATAAACCATTCACATCTATGTCAAATTTAAACTCTACTATCAAAACCTAACAATCCTTTGTCAAAATGTCACTCTGATGACAAAATGATACCTATGCATCATATGAATACACTTTCAGATGAGCAGCAACACACTAGTCTACTTTATATAAAAAACAGTCTTTTGTTTTCAATGTTTTTATTCAGTTATAGAAGACAACTGAATAAAAACATGGTAGCTGTTTTCACAACTACCCAAAAAAAAAAAAGAAAATGAAATAATGAATTCAAAATCATTACATTAGTATATTTTACAGTACAGTAAATAACAATGCACTACTGTAAACACAAAAAAACACAATTGTGCGCAAGTGGGCTTATGGATCCTGCATCTGTTGGGGTCTGGCCAAGATCTCATCAACATCACAAGCAATGTCTTCTTTTGCTAAGCATCGGGGAAAATATCCCCTTGTGTGCCAAATCCATCCCTGGATTGACCTCACCTCAATGTCTCCACAGGCCTGTTCCATTGCCTGCAGAAGAGGCATGGGCATGTGGTTGGTGGTCATATACGCGCCATCTCCAAGCAGAAAAAAAATCCACTATAGGATTTAAAAATGGCGAGTAAGGGACAAGTACAGAACTTCAAATTGATCATGGTTGGTGAACCAGTTCTGGACCAGAGCAGCCCGATGGAAACTGACATTATCCCAGACAACAAACCTGGGCTGCTCTGGTCCATCCTGTACAACTGCATCATGAAGTGCATATAGAAATGTTATTATGTGTTGCGCATTATAGGGACCCAGTTTGGCATGATGGTGCAGTAGCCCTCGAAGACTTATGGCAGCCCACAATGTGATATTTCCCCCGCGCTGCCCTTGTCTGTGCAAACGTCAAAATACCCCCTAAAAAGCAGACGGCGTGTTCTGCGCATCACATGTTCAGTAAAATATAAGAACTTATTATAGAAAATGTAAAAAAATCATTTTTAAGAATAAGGTTTAATGTTGGGGATTAAATTTTATGTTGAATATGCAAGTTAGAGATAGAAATAGTTGAACACTTGCAATATGGTAAACACATTCTGGAAAAAGCTGGATGCAAAGAATATCTGTAAGGGTGTTTTGGGAAACTGTAAAGTTTGGGTTGTTAACTAAGGATAAAAAGGTATCTTATGTAGCCAAATAAATATTGTGTTGCTTTTGCTGAAATTCTACATAATAAACAAATGATTTTTCAAAATTGCTCCACGATTATTGTTTTTTAACGAGGTATGTCTAGCCTAGTTGGAGACATGAGAGGAATGAAAAGTCCCAAAGCATTTTATTGTAATCCTTATTGAAAGATTCTGGTTTTATAAATAAAAAAAGACTTTCTTTCTTTCTTTCTTTCTTTCTTTCTTTCTTTCTTTCTTTCTTTCTTTCTTTCTTTCTTTCTTTCTTTCTTTCTTTCTTTCTTTCTTTCTTTCTTTCCCCCTTTGTCTTTAACTTACTTACTGTTGGGTATGTTGGTATATTGTGATGTGATGATTTAATGTAAGCTCAGTCTTGTTTGAGCAAAATAAAAAGGGAGAGAGAGACAGCGAGAGCGAGCGAGAAGTAGAAGAACTCTCCACTATCCCACAATGCACCGAGAACGCTCACGGTGGTACGTCATCGCCCGCCCATGAAGTATTTGAACGCGTATGGCGCGAGATATGATTCATAATAATATATACTTTGATTGATTAAAATAAATGGATATTTGAATACCAACCAAGAGCAACACAAAATGTAGGTATGTGACTTTTCAGAAACATTATAGATAACTTTATTTGTGACGGAAGATCCCTTCCGCATTTTTTATGTTTACTTTCTGAAAGGGTCATTTTATATCATCTCAACTTCTTTTTTATCTGATGGCACGTAATCGGAGACTGCCAATTGTTGTATTATCTAACGTTATCGATGTAACGTTACTGTAGCACATAATGCAATATTATTTGAAATATTCTCCTGAATGATCATTCATGGTACGAGATGTATAGTTTAATTTGTTCCACAAAGTAACGTTAACTTAAGTTACTGTTTTATTTTTATTTTGTCGGGTCTAGTACGACAAATGAGATGGTAAAACCATGTAGATTTTCCCTGTACATTGTATTCTGTGGTGTATGCATGCGTAGCTTACTGTGCTGGTGTTCCGTCGACTATTAAAAAGTAAATTAACCAATGCGTTTAAGTTAGCTAAGTTACCGTTATGGTAATCATCAAGACGAGACTTTGTTTTGTCTTGAAATCATTTGTAGCTAACAAAAATTCCATGGTATTGCCACGTTTTGGTAATGTTAATGGTATATTCAGTGCAATGGTGTATATCACAGTACGTTACCATCTGACATAGTAGTATTGTCAACTTAGTTATTGATGGTTGCTATATATTTGTTTTGGTATTGTTTTCTTAATTTGTGTATTTTATGTCATAAATTATATTTCAGTCATAATATTAAACACCCCACCTTCTTTTCTGTTATAGGTTAGTGCATATTGATGTGGAGCATCTGGATGAGCAGTCAGCTTTCACAATTCCATAATTTAAAGTATCATCTGAAAATTTATCAAGCCTACATTTACATTAGAATAACTGACTGTACATGTCCTATGTCGTCTTCTTATCAGACATCAGTGGTCACCACCCCTCTCCCTCTGCCTACCCACTTCTCTCATGCCCAGCAGTCCTTTTCCCTAAAGAAACGGAGACCTCCCTTCTCTTCCTCATCATCTTCCTCCCTGTCTCCTCCACGGCCATTATCTCATTCTTTACCGCCACGGCCACCATCTAAAGGATGCCCCCCGCTCAGTCGAGTGTTTCTCCATCAACCCACTCCATGGACGCCCCTGTCACGCTCCCTTATAGAGTCGCCCCCTCCTCGCTCTGTGTACGACCCGTCTCGACTGGAGTCTTTTTTCAGCCAGTGCTTTACCAACCTGGGCCTTATTGGACGAGGTTCCTTTGGTGAGGTTTTTAAGGTGAGACATGCTAAATGCCTTCTAAGGGTTTATGTGGAATAGCATACTACCACCATTCCTATTCATACTATTTCTAGTGAGAAGTAATATCAGCCACCATCTTTTTCTGCCCAATGCCTCTGCATTTTTACACAAAATTGGTTTAAAAAAATGTTAAGTAACAAATGATTTTTTCAAAATAACTACACTTGATTCACTGAAGTAAAGGTACACCGCGGATGTTTTCTGAAACTGATTCATACATTTATACATGATAGATTTCAGATAATGGTGATGTTTCAAGATCACCAATGAATACTCTAATGATAATATGTTTTTTCAGATGTTCTTCAAATTACAGTCCTCTCTGTCGTCATAAAACATCCCATGACACGTCTCGTAAAGTGTATGGTTGTAACCCCGGTGTCCTAGCCGAATTCCCTCATTGGCTCTTATCTGTCATGGTCTCCTAATAATCCCCTCCCATTGAATTGGCTTTATTCTCTTCTCCACCTAAAGCTGGTGTGTGTGGTGGTGGTTGAGGAGAGACCCCTGCCCTGATCCCACTGTAAAGCACCCTGACGGTACAGTTGCATCTAAAAGTGCTATATTATAAATGCATTTATTTATTCATTTTTGTCTGTCAGGTGGTGAGTCTTTTGGACGGTTGCCAGTACGCTGTCAAGCGTTCAGTGCAGCGATTCCGTGGTGAGGCTGAACGAGCAAAAAGCATTACTGAGGCTTGGAATCATGAGAGACTACTGCCACACCCTTACGTGCTGGGCTTCATTGCGGCTTGGGAGGAGGCTGGTCACCTCTACATCCAGACTGAACTCTGCTGTACCAGCTTACAGCTATATGCTGAGGAAACGTCATTTCACACTGGTATACAGCAAACTACGCAACAAAAACTCTCTAACCAATGACCGCAACAAAAGACTGGTTTATATTAAAACATTGCATTTTTTTGCATTGCATTGCAAATATAACTTACTCAAGATGAATGTGTGTGTGTTTTGTGTTGTATCAGATGAGACAAGTGCCTGGACATATCTATGTGACATGCTGTCAGCGCTCGACCACTTGCACACTCATGG